GCCAGCGGCGCCAGCATAGCGTCTTTTCTGTGGGGCGCGGCACGCCTGGGCTATCGTCCACCGGCGGCGGCGATGGCGGCGCTGATGGCGCGATGCCGGGATCTCTTGGAGGAGAACAGCTACGGCCGCTGCTGTAGTCGCGGCGGCGGTGGCGGCGGTGGTGGTGGTATAGGGCCCCGGGAGCTGTCCGAGGTGATGTGGTCGCTGGCAGTCATGGGCTTCACTCCAGGGGAGGCCTGGCTCCGCCGTGTCGATATGGAGCTGGAGCGGCTGGCCGGCGGGACCGAGGGGGAAGGGAGAGGAGGAGAAGGCTTGGCGGCAGTGGCGGCGGCAGTGGCGGTGGAGGACAAAGCGCAGGAGGACGAGGAGGAGCCGCAGCAGGGTGTCGTACAGCTCTCGAGGGCGCCACCGAAGGCCGAGCCGGCGGAGCAAGAGAAGGAGGAGGAAGGAACAGCAGACTGGTGGAATGATCACTTGAGCCATGAGGGCTGTAGCAGCAGTAGCAGCAGTGGCGTAGGTGGAGGCGTCTCTCACGTCGTTCGTCGCCGGCTGGGCGGAGCTCTACCTGGTGGCGGAGGCGGCTTCGCACCCGCCGCCGCCGTCGCCGCCGCCGCCCCGCCACCGCTCCTTCTTGACAGCCGACATGCCGCAACGTGCATCTGGGCGTTTGCGCGGCTGGGCCACAGACCACCGGCGAGGGTCCTCACAGCGCTGTTGCGCCGCGTCTGCGCGGGGGCCCCGGCTACAGCCGCCTCCGGCGCCGCCGCCACCACCGCCGCGGCGCCGCAGGACCTGTCCATGGCTTCCTGGGCACTGGGCGTGTTGCGTTTCCAACCGGAGCCTGATCAGGCAATCGCCCTGGTGAGGGTCATGGCGGTACGGCTGCGTGACGCCAACTCGCAGAACTTGGTAATCTGGTTATCGGCGCTGGCTCGCATGCGTCTTGCAGCCCCCTTGCCCTGGTTCGTGTGTTACCTGGGTCGCATAGAAAGGAAGTTGAGGACCCTGTCACCGCTGGCGCTGGTGAACTGGGTGGATGCAGTGGCCAAGTTGCGGACGGCTCGGCCGCCGCGGCGAAGCCGCCTGGAGCTGGCTGTGAGGGCGACACGATGGCAGGAGCAGCAGCAGAAGCAGGAGGAGGAGGAGGAGGAGGAGGCGGCTTTGAGGATGTCGCCTGCGGGGACGGAAGAGGGGGAATGCGATGGTGGCGGCGGTGGCAGCGGCGGCTGGGGGAAAGTATCTTCGACGGCGGTGGCGGAGGTGACGGCGGTCGCCATGGCACGTGGCCCCGTCCTCAGGAAAGGTGCTGCTGGCAGCTGTAGCAACAGGGCCAGCAGTAACAGTAGTAGCAACATTACCAGAAGCAGCAGCAGCGGCAGTAGAAGCGGAAGCAGCAACAGCACGCGGGCGTTTGAGGGATCCAGCGGTGATAGCGGCGGCTTCAGGGATCGGTGGGTGCTGGTGGCGCTGCCCGGTCCGAAGCCGCCGCGGGGAGCAGCGACCCGTGGGCCGGCCTTGGACCAACAGCACCAACAGCTCCACCAGCACCAGCGCCTTACCTCCCACATTTGCTCGACGGCAAGGCCCTTGGCTGCCGGCCAACGACGACCACCACATTCACCGCCGTCACAAACATCGTCTCCACCCCACCTCACATGCCGCCCTCCACGCACAGCTGACTCAGCTACGCTGACGGCTGCGACGGAGGAAGCAAGCCCAGCGACGACGGCGGCGGCTGTGGCGCCGCAGCCGCAGCCGCAGCCGGCGCCAGTCGCCCAAAGGCCGGGCCGCGGCAGCAGCGGCCCCGACTCGGTGTTTGTCCGGCCTGCAGTACGGCAGCTGCAGCGTCACCGGATGATGTCGCCGCTGCTGCGTCTGCTCGAGGCCCGAATGCCGTACATGGACCTGGAGCAGCACTGCCGACTGGCCTGGGCTGTGGCGCACCTCAACACGGCCATCCGCAGACCGTGGGTGGACTCGCTGATCGCACACACGTCCGAGGCCCTTGAACGGCGGCTCAAGCTGCGACAGGAACACCACCAGCAGCAACAGCAACAGCAGCAGATGCGAAGTGATGCGGGAGCAGCTGCGGCCGGGGCCGGGGCCGCATCAAGTGGACTGGAGGGTCACTCTGTGACTACGGTGCCAGCACCGGCGGCAGCCGCGGCGGCGGCGGCGGCACCGGTGGCGCCGGTCATCGATGCCAGGTGGTTACTGAAGCTTGTACGGGGAGTTCAGATGATGTTGCGGGGTCCGAACAGAGGGTCGGGCTCGCGGCGGCGACGGCGACGGCAGCGCCTGACGGAGCTGCCGTGGGGCCGACGGCTGTGGCGGCTGCGGCGGCACCGCTGTCGAGCGACGGGCGAGGAGGCGGCGGCGGCGCCGACGGCGCTCTCAGGTTCCGCAACTCGTGGCGGGTCGGAGCCGTACAGCTACATCCCGCGGCGCTGGCGGCTGCTGCTGATGGTTGCGATGCTGCCGCAGCTGTCAGCGCTGACGAACGCGCAGCTGCTGCGGTTTGTGCGCACGATGGCACAGCTGCGTTGGGGCCCAGCTGTTGCAGCCGCTGCTGCTAGAACTGCTAGTAGTGCGGGTAGTGCAGCTACTGCCGCGGGCGCCGACCGCGGCTTTCAGGCTGCCGCGGGGGGCGCTGGGGGTTCTACCCTTGGTGCTGCGAATAGTACCGATATAAATTATGGTGATGGCCGCTTCGATCCGCCTCTACGCCCCCGGCGGGGTCTTCAGCGGCGTGTGGTGCGGGAGCTGGGAGCCTACTGCCGTCGGCGCGTGGCGGCGACGTGCGGCGGCGGCGAGGAGGAGGCGTGTGACCTGACCACCCTGGAGCTGTTGAGGTGGACCAGGGGCTGGGATAGCAGCAGCAGCAGCACAGGGAGAGACGGGGGTGGCGGCGATGACGGCGAGGAGGACGGCGGCGACGGAAGGGGGTAGCAGCGGCGGGGAGGTTTCGGGCAGTAGCGCCAGCGGCAGTGGGAGGGCCTGTGCGGAGAGGGGGTTAGCGACAGCGGAGACTGCAGCGGGAAGGGCGCCTCCGCTTCCATTGCCGCTCCTGGGGTACTCCGGGATACGGGGAGCTGGGGGAGTGAGGGCCCTGGGGCGGTGGGTAGGGGAATGGGAGCGGCTGGGGGCGGCGGTAGAGGCAAGGGACAGGAAGCATGGTGGAGGTTGGGCAGCTGCTTCCGCTGCTGAGTGTTGTTATGGACCCGGTGCCGGTAGGGGGAGGGGGGAGGGGGGGGGGACATGGGGGTTAAAACCCGCGGGCTGTGTCGACTTGATGGGCTGTGTGGGCTGTGTGTATTGCCCCCTTCACCCAGAGGAGGTTCCAGAGCAGCTGGGGGCTCCGAGCGATGGCGCCCCCACAGTCCCAGCGCATTTCTGTGTGTGTGCGTGTGTGTGCGTGTGTGTGCGTGTGTGTGCGTGTGTGTGCGTGTGTGTGCGTGTGTGTGCGTGTGTGTGCGTGTGTGTGCGTGTGTGTGCCAGTATAGCAGTGTGTGCAGTGGACCCTGTGCTGCTGTAACTCTTTAACCTTAACAGCTGGCGAATGGCATTTTTTGGGGGGGACATCGATTGCGGGGGGATGTGCACCAGCTCAAGATTGCTATGGGGTGGTTGCCTTCTTCCTTTGGGGAAACAAAGCAGCTTTTCAGTAATGAATCTAATTTTGCTCATGTGTGTACTGCTCATCGCGGAATGGCCACAAGGGACATCTGGAACGTCTGGCGTTGGGTCGCTGTAACCTTCATTGCCGTGCATTGTCCGTACGGTCCACCGCGTCCTAGGTGGCATGGCATGCTGCAGTCGTACACGTCGCCGTCGGGCTGGATGTTGTCCTGGTTTCGGTGGCGTTGATTGCATGTTGCCGTACATATGTACGGCATGTATATCTGTGTATGTGTCATGGCAGCCTGCCAGTCACGGCTTTTGCGGTGCATGAGTACGGCTGGGCTTATGGATTTAGGGAAAACAGCTTCTGTTTTTTCTTTTCTTCTTCTTCTTCTTCTTCTTCTTCTCCTTCATGATGTTTTGTGCTTATTATCTTATCTTGCGACCCATCGTGGTCTGTCATGTGGGGGTAGAGGGTAGGTAAAGTCTTTAGCTAAGACTCTCCTTAGAAAAACAGGCATTGGACTTGCAGGTTTCGGAGCGGAACAAGCCGGACACTGCCGGAATCCATTGAAGGCAGCTGGCCAAACGCACATGGAGGGCGGGTGGCGGTGACGGTGCCCTTAGCGTACAATATAGCTGGTGACATAGATGTTAGCTTGTATTGGTTGCCAAGTCCGTTCTTTGTGTAGCTTCTTGGCTTTCCTCGTAAGAGGGTGCAGGACGTGCACCTTGCGTAGTCAGTGCCTGTGAGCAGTTGTCAATGTTTGGTTGTCAAATTTTAAAGACAACCAGGTGGCAACGTGGCTTGTTAATTTTTTTCTTTTCCTTTTCCTCTCAGTACTGTGGCGTTTCTGATTTGCTTACGAGGGAGAGTGGGTTGGTGAGTAAGCGAGTGCTGCTGGTTGGGCTGCGAGGGGCTGCGCGTATGCGGCGCATACGCCCAGTCGGACAGGGCGGATGGGATGTAAAGAGCCTGTGTAAGGGGAGATTGGGGTTCAGGGGGTAGAGGTGGGGGATGGTGGTGAATATGTGGATGGCGGAATGGCAGCGATGCCGTCCTAACGTAACGCCATGCTGTGGAAAAGGCGAGATTGTTGTGTAAAGTTTTAGGTCATACGCAGAGGCGAACCTAAGTAGATCTGGGTTTCCTGCGACCTTGCAACGTGGTACTGAGTTTCACGGAAACTGGCAATCAGGAAACTTGTGTACGGCACCCCGAATAACAAGCACTAGCAAAGCGCAATCCCAGGTATGCCATCACACCATAGTGAAAAGGGTATGCTCTTGCTTATAATTTTCCAAAATCTGTGAGCGACCGTGGCGTTTGTCGTCAACTTTTGCAGCTCATTAGTCTTTGAACACTCGACTTTTAGCAAATGGCCGACGGGAGCCTTGCAGGATTTGCAACGCTTGAAGAGCTGATGGAGGTGTGAAATGCAAGCCAGACCGATGCTGATCATTTACGAAACCCTAATCCGACTGTCCATCTCGCGTCCCACATAGGAGTACATCCCGCCTGAGAAGCTGCAGCAGGCTCGTCGTGTCTTATACGGAGTAAATATGGGCCAGCTTGTGACGGGGATGGCGTTGGATCTGGCGTTATGCGAGCGTGCAAAGTTGATGGACTTTGACCTCCGCAGCGCAGTCTTTCGGGCAGCGCCGGAGCAGTTAAGGCCAGCTCGCATTGTTAGGATCGGTCTGATTCAAAATAAAATTGTGCTGTCAACGGATGCTCCGTTCGCGGAGCAAGCCCAGGTACGCGAGATGTGTGTGTACATTGGACCTGACAGCGTCCGCGCCTGAGCCATGCTGACTGAGACCCCTGTTCGATATTACTGTCACATAGGCTATCCGAGATCGGGTAGGGCAGATGCTGGAAACTGCAGGACAAGCTGGTGTCAAGGTCGTGTGCCTACAGGAAGCCTGGTACGTGGGTCGTTCCCAAGCGGACGCGCGCACGGCCAGAACGTGCAGCAACAGCAGTCCAATCAGCATCTCACACGGGGCAAGGAGCGGCAAACCATGCTTTGTCCGCCCTTCTGCTTAGTCCCCAGCTCCTAGGAACTCAGGCCTCCAAACACGTCCTGTAACCCACCTGCTAGAGTTCCCCGCACCCAGCCATCCTTCCCCCCACTCCCACCCCTGCGCGAGCCGTGTCATGCGTACAGCACTGAAAACTTTCCGAACTCAACCCCTTCCGCACGATCTTCAACGGTTGTTAACCAGCGCCCTGCAAGACTACGTGCAAACATTTGCGTTCTCCCACACTTGAAACCCGCATATGGCACTTACAGCCCCCTGGGGAGCGGGTCTACAGTCCTACTGCCGCTTAAGGACCACAGCCACAGCCGAACTCCGTCATGCCTTGGCCCTTTCTCCCCTTCTCCCACCCCCGGACACCACCCTCGCTACGGCCCACCCCCCTGGCGTTCAGGCACATGCCATTTGCCTTCTGTACCCGGGAGAAGCGCTACTGCGAGTTCGCCGAGTCGGCGGAGACGGGGGAATCCGTGGCCTTCTGCCAAGCAGCAGCAAGGAGGTACGGCACGGCGCGGGAGCTGAGGTCACACGTGAACACAGACCCCTGTGTACCATCATCGGTGCTTCCTTCCTACTCGGCTCAGATCATTAAAACACAAACCCCCTTGCTGTTTGTCCGCGAATTCTTTTGCTTTATCCCCCAACTTCCTGTCTTTCTCTTTATCTCTCTGGCTGTCTCTTCCGCGCGTGCACACGTGCACGCGCAATTGAGACGACGCTGAAAATGTGCGACGGTCTTGTCCGGTTGTGAAAAGGCTTACAGGGGCTTGCTCCAGCCAGCACCATGCCATAAACAGTGGTGTGACCCAAAACGCAGCGCAGCCCATGGACCTACAGCGTACGGCTGAAGTGTACGGCAAAACTGTGTCATGGGGGTCCTTATACAGGGGTAGCATCTATTGCTTAATCCCAGACCTGGACGTGGCCATACGAGCCCTAAGGATGCCTAAGGGCCAGGTTGCCTAGGACTGTCCAAAAATGGATGAAAACGCAAGAAAGAAATAATGGTCCTATCAACTCAACACGATGTGTGTGATTGGCCCCGCCCTCCTTTACAGATGGGGCATGGTGGTGATCTGCCCCATTTTGGAGCGCGACGCAGCCCACAGCGACACGATTTGGAACACGGCGGTCGTGATTGGCCACAACGGGAATATCATTGGCAAGCACCGAAAGGTGCGCCCCGGCCGTGCGTGTGTATGCGAACTGTGTCTTGCTGTTGTCCCTATTATTGTTCGCGCTGCGGAACGCCTTTGCCTTACGTTTAAAAAAATCGGTAGTGCGGGCACGGCGCTGCATTAAAACCACATGTAAGGCCGATCCTGCACTTCCGACCGCCCCTGCATGTGGTTTTCTCCTCATCTCTCCCCCCCCCGGCCGTGATCCCCTCTCCCGCAACTCCCCTCTCCCCCCCCCAACCTCCTCTCCTCCCCAAGAACCACATTCCCCGTGTGGGCGACTTCAACGAGTCCACCTATTACATGGAGGGCAACACCGGGCACCCCGTGTTCGAGACGGCGTTCGGGCGCATCGCAGTCAACATCTGCTACGGCCGACATCACCCCATGAACTGGCAGGTGGGTGAAAAGGGGAAGATCCTGGGCTTCTGTTATAGCTGTCGTACAGAACGGCACACATACACCGCACTCTTTCCCCTCTTCACCCATCCGCATACCCTCCTCGTTTATAGCTGTCGTACAGTACGGCACACGTACACCGTACTCTTCCCCCCACCCATCCACCACCCACCCATCCGCCTACCCATCCTTGTCGCCGCCGCCAGGCGTTCGGCATGAACGGCGCGGAGCTGGTGTTCAACCCCGCCGCCACCGTGGGCGACCTGAGCGAGCCGCTGTGGCCCGTGGAGGCCCGTAACGCCGCCATCGCCAACAGCTACTTCGTGGCGGCCATCAACCGGGTCGGCACGGAGGTCTTCCCCAACGAGTTCACGTCGGGAGACGGCAAGCCGGCGCACAAGGTCGGTGCGGGTCGCACCGGAAAGGATACAACAGAACAGGAAAAGGAGGAGAGCCGGAGAAGAAAATATACGAACGTAATTGTAGAGGGCAGCTGGTCTTCGGCCCTTGAAGACACACACGATTGGGAATGGGTTCCTACTTCCGTTGCCAGTACCGTACCTAGTACCGTACCCACTACCGTACCCACTACCGTACCAATAGGCGAGTCATTACACGGGAGTGAGATGCGGACCGGACGCGGCACGGCACTGCGCCATAAAGAGAACTTGCTCGCGCTTTAGTTGCGTTTCCTTTCTAACGCATTTCCATACCCGTATTGTCGCCGCTGGCGCCACCGCCACCGCTGGTGCTGCTTCTGCTTCTGCTGCACACAGGAGTTCGGTCCCTTCTACGGCAGCAGCTATGTGGCCGCACCTGACGGCAGTCGCAGCGCCTCCCTGGCTCGCCACAAGGACGGCCTCCTGGTCGCGGACATTGACCTCAACCTCTGTCGCCAGGTGGGTGGTGGTGGGTGTGCATGTAATTGGGGAAGGAAGGGCCGATGGTGGGCACGTCGTGTGCGTAAACTTTCCCCGCAGCAGCTTCTCCCACCTCGCATAGCTGCACCATGGAGTGCCATTAATTTTCTCTTGTCGTATTGTCTTACTCTCGCTTTTCACCGACCTGTTCCGCATTCTCCCACCCTGTTCTCCCTCCCTCCTTTTGCCCCCCACTCCACATACGCAAACTCGGCGGGGCTCCTGCTCTCGGCGTCCTCCCCTGGGTCCCCTCCGGCCTGTGGCCCTTACGAACGGCCTCTTTGGTCCCTCTCAGACCAAGGACAAGTGGGGGTTTCAGATGACCGCGCGTTACGAGATGTACGCAGAGTTCTTCAACCGCTTCGTGCAGCCGGACTTCAAGCCCCAGATCGTCCGCGACCCCTCGCTGTGAAAGAGGTCGCCGTGGGAGGGGAAAGAGCCACGAGGGGCCGTGGGGCCCGAAGGGCCGTTTTATGGATGTGGTCATGGTGGTGAACAGATGCGGACGCGGACGCGCAGGGCACTGGTGCCACTAGTACCGGGCACGTGTGTGTATGTATGTATGTCACCCTACACCTCAAGCTGAGCTGAGCGGTGCCTCTTGTACAATGTGTGTGTGTGTTTGTGTGTGTTACACACCGATCTGGGCCGGACGCTGGCCAGGGGCATCTAACCGTATACCCCAACGGGAACGGCCGCCGGAGACTCTCCTCCTAGCGGTGGTGGGAGAGAGGTGCGTGATGGGCCACAGTCCCCTCCTGCTTATCCGAGGGCGAGTGTATGTGTGTTTGTGCTGCATGCTACGTGGCTTGGCTGGGATGGAGGTGTGTCTTATTTTGCAGGTGTCCGTCGGCTTCCGTTTGTTCGACAAGCGCGGTGATGTAGCCTGGCGGGTTGGGGGTCCTTACAGGCGCTAATTCGTGTACTCCATACATATGTATGTATGTATGTTAACAAAAACTCCTGATGTTCTGAGACGCATGCACATACCTACAAAATACGTATTATTACAGAGTGTACTATTCCTCGTCGGAAGGGGGAGGGAGGAAGGACCCAGGCAGGGTGGCAGCAGCACAGGTCTGCGAAGGAGGAAGCTCCTCTTCACTACCAGGTGGTCTAAATGAGAGGAAGGAGTGCTCTCGGAAGGTCGAGGTGGGCAGAAGGGATATCCCCAATGTTTTTGCTTTGCGGTTCGCTTGGTGGCTGCTCAGCCAATTTTGACGAAAATTGACGCGGACTTCCTTTTCATTGGAAAACGTGAGCCATGTACATACGTCACGGGCGTGGACCCGCCTCGCCTGGGGTTAGTAGTAGTGGCAAATTGTAATGCTGCTGCTGCGGGCGGCAGGGGCATTTGGTGATGGGATCGTGTCCTAGCCTCGATATCCTCAAAGATAGCGACAAAACACACACACACATACATACACACGCAGCGGCAAGCCCCCATGCTCTATATGCCACGTGATGCGATGCAATCCACAAGCGGAAACCTCGATTACCCGCTCAAACACCGAGAGGTGCAGTGCTGCAATGCGTTGCAATCTAGTCCGCACCTTGCCCTGTTGCTCCCCCCAAGTCTATATCCTGTTGGTAGCCCACAACAGTGAAAGGAGGATTTAGAGCCGTCGCCATTTGGAAACCACCTTCATTCCCCCAATATGTGCACTCTCAACATTACTCCGGCCTACTGGTAGCAATTCAACTTCATCCATGCTGAGTTTCTGTCCTGACGCCTCCACGTAAACCTCCATGCATAATTGTTGGTTTCACTGCTTTCCTCTAGACGTGCATAACTTACTATGTTTCGCGGTGCTAAGGAGGTTCGTTTTGGCGGCGACTTGTTTCGCTTGGTGGTCTGACGGGCGCAGGCAGTTGACATTTAAATCCTTTCCTTCCTTCCTTTGATGCCTGCATGTCTCTTGGGTACCTACAGCTTCTTTGAAGCTTAGCCGACTCTACCTCTTCCTTCAAAACAACATCATCCTCATTATCATCGGCCTGCAGCTGCCCCAACAGACGACTGACCGACGTACATCAAGCAACGCAGTGAAATAGGCGCTTTCACTCCTCTCGACTATCATTCGACATCACTCTCACGTCGCACAGCAGCTCACGCGACTATTTTCCCAATCAAGTTAACAGAGCCCCCCTCACCGTAAACAGAATAAAGTCATTCCCTGAGGCCACTAGGACAAGGAATCTAAACACCTTCCCGGCCGGAAAACCAACGGGCGCTACTGCCCCCCTCTTCATCCCAGTTTTCTCAGGATCCTGCTACCACATCTCTACGCCGCTAGCATTTCACAACTCAGCACTAGCACTCAGCAACCACTTGCACTTGACGGATAGCGCAAAACTCTTCCTCTCTTAAGGAGGTTGGCGGTTGAGGCACCGTCACCTCTTAACTCCATATACATCGTCTAGAAAGGGACAGTGGCGATTGAGGCCGCAGCGAACCGAATACACATCCGTCGCCCCTCCCCCGGGGGCCCCCCCGCGACCCCAACCCCAGCTCAACATATCCCTCTTCAGCCCTTAGTTCCAGGGGCCACATCGTGAAAGCATCATTAGCTGGTCCTTCAAATTTGGATTGGACGCTGTGCCATGGGCGGCTGCCAGTCGCCCCGCCGGGCTGCTGCTGCCACAGCTGCTACAGTCACCGGTGTGGCTGTAGCCACGCTGCTGCTCGCTAGCAGCTTGGCGACTGCGGCGACTTGGTCCAGTGACGCCGCCCCGCCTCGGGATGAATCCACAGGTGACCCGCGTATGTATGTTTGCATGTTTGTATGTGTGTGTTTTGTACGCGTAAAAGCGTGTGTGTGATGATAATGAAAAGTAGGTCGGGAGAGAGAGTGAATGTGGCTGGATGCCTGGGTTGAGGGAAGGAAACAAGTACAGTACGCACTTAGGCGGTTCAGGACCGAGCAACAGCCATGATAATACTGGCTTGACTGTAGGCAGCGTTGGCATTGGCGGTGACGGTGACGGTGGCGGCGGTGACGGCGGCGCTGATGCTGCCGGCGCCTCCGCCGGCAGCGCCGCTGTGGACGCCTCCCCTCCAACGGTGCCGTTGACCAGCTTGTTCGCTGTCGTCGACGGACTACTCCGCCCCACCACGATCGCGCTCGAGGCATTGACGTTGGCTTTCGGAGCCGCCAACGCCAATGCCAGAGCCGCCGCCGCTGCCGCCGCTGCTGCCGCCGCCGCCACAGCCACCAAAGCTGCTGCCACGGGCAGCGGCCTGGCGTTAGGGCAGCAGTACGAGCTTGGCGGCGCCCCTCTCGCCGAATCCGACTCCATCGCCGACATCGGTGGTGTAGGAGGCGGCGGCGACCCCGCCGCCGCCGTCGCCTCCGCCATGGCGATGGCTCGCGATATGGACCTACAGATCCTTCAACTACGCATCGCGCAGCTAGGGGCGCTCCGCGCGGGTGGTGCCAGCGCTGGCGCCGCCGCCAGCGCTGCGGATGCTGGCGGCGACGGGGCCAATGCTGAGGGCGGGGACGATATGTACGACACGTATCTGGATGATCAGCTGCCAGAAGGCACTGACGCAAGCCAGAATGATATTATGATCTTGGAGGACGTTGGCCAGGGAAAGCTGATAATTGCGCCGTACGACATGGATGGCTTGTACGACATTGACGATCATTTGGAGGCGGATGAGGAGGCGGGGCAGGTGGTGGACGGCGGCTGGGTTGACAATGCTTTTGAAATGCAGTTGACCGACGCGTATGACGGTGATCTGTATGTTATTGGCGACGAGGCTGCCTCCAGCGCCGACGACGCCGACGACGCTGACGCTGACGCTGATGCCGAAGACGTCGGCGTGCCGGCTGCGGCAGCGGACACTGCATCTGCTGCCGCTCAGTCGCAGGACTCCATGTCCGCTAGTGACAGCAGCTCCGCCTCGAGGGGTTCCTCGTCGTGGTCGTCCCCCTCGGCTCCAGGCGCCGCCGCCGCCGCCGCCGCCGAAGTTGTTCGGATCAGCCGCCGTCGCCGCCGCCTGCTTGCATCAGGGCCCAGCTCTGGTGGGTTTGAGGCTGGCTTGTGTTGCGCATCCTGGTGGCGGTGTCCTGACATGTTTCCTCGCGCAAGAGACAACCTGCGTTTCAATCACCTTCAGCACCGCCCTCCGAACACTTCGACACATTCCTGAAAACTGCCGCTGCACGCATGTACGGGAACATCCACCACACCACCACACCACCACACGCTGACATGTACACGAACATGCTACATAGCAAATTTGAAGGCACGCGCTGTAGGCACCACATCACTGTAGGCATCGCGTGCACAGCGCTCATCAATCTGAGCGGTCATTTCTTGCCCCGGGTCCGCCGCCGCACGTAGTGGGCAGCGGCAGCGGTCCGGGGCCCGACGCCGACGCTGGCGACGTCGCCCCTAGCGCTAACGGCGATGCCATGCGGAGCGCCAGCGGCGACGCCCCCCCCCCGGGTGCCAACGGCAACGTCAGCCGAAGCGCCAGCGGCGACGCCACCGCCGTCCCTAGCGCCAACGGCGATGCCATGCGGAGCGCCAGCGGCGACGTCGGCCCAATCGTCAGCGGCGGCGTCGGCCCAATTGTCAGCGGCGGCGTCGGCCCAATCGTCAGCGGGGACGCCGACACTCCCGACCAACGCCTCCGCCGCCAGGGTCCAGGCCCGGGCCTAGGCCCAGGTCCAGGCGATGGACCAGTTCGCCGACTACCCCGCCGGGATCCCCTGGACCAACCCCCAGCCAATGTAAGCCATGCAATGTACCCACCGTCTCACACCGCCCTCCCTGCCGTTCTCTCCTTGCCGTGCTAGAACGACTTTGTTGTTCTTTCTTCCCCCTTCCTTTCCCACCGAGATTTTCTCACAACATAAAAACAAATCAACACACGCTTCGCTGAAAAAAGCTCATCACGCCAACTGTCACGGCAGGTCTGGGTTCCCGGCATCGTGCGTGTCAGTCGAGAGCCCGACGGCAATGTACGGGTAAGTCAAACTGCCGTACTGAGTCCACTGTTCTGCTGGAAGCTTATGGCTCCCAAACCTTCAAACCTCGAATCCGCGGTCCGAGGAAGAAGAACCCTCGCGGGCCTTACTCCTCCACTTCTCACCTAAAACCATCCGCGTGCTAAACCCAGTCAAGTTGCTTATCTAGGCTACAGGCCACGTCTGCCCGTCGGGTTCCGTTGCATATCTTCTTAGGTAGGTCAGGAACGAGGGGAACCGCGCCCCGCCTCTCTTCTTAGGCACGACTAGCTGAGCTCAAAAAAAGGAGTAGAGGATGGTGGCGCCGACCGTTGCGGGGGTTCTGTGTCAGTTAAGACGAGAGACAGATTTGGCTGTACTGCTGAAGCAGCAACCCTCTAGCAATCCCTCAAGCGGTAAGCACACACACATGCTCAGCTCAGCTCAGGGTGGGTCGGATCCCTTACACAAAGCAGAAAAACGGCAAAGGGGATTATTTTACCTTCTGTTTGCTTAGTGGTGTAAGGTGTTTAAGGTGACCGGTGATTAAGGGATTTTGAGTAACAGATTCGGTTGTCACCGGTACTCAGTGCACCTTACAGGAACACACCCTCTCTCTCCGTCTCTCTTTTGCGCAACTGTACGGACAAAGCTTGCAACTTTTGCCACGCAGGTTCGCGTGGGGCCGCTGGGCGCCATTACTTCCGTCACCGTCGCACCGCAGAACAATGTCAGGGAGCAGCCACGCGCGGCAGCCGCAGCCGGCGGCGGCGGTAGCGTTCCTGTTCCCGACCTCGCAACCGCCGCCTCAGCCGTCTCCGCGGCCACTGCTGCTGCTGCGGCCGCTGCAGCGGCGGCGGCGGCGGCGCCGATCCTCCGCGCCACCGATAACAGTGCTACTACTCCCGCCGCCGCCGCTGCCTCAGCCGCCGTCGGGCCCCAGCCCGGGGTTGCATCTGGAAGTGCCGAAGGGCTTCCGCAGCCGCCGGTGGTAATGCCTGCCACCGCCGCGGGTGCCGTACTCGGCAGCGCCATAGGGGACCGCGTCGGTGATAGCATCGGCCGCGCCGTCGTCAACGTCCGCGACTCGGTCTTTGGCAGTCGTAACGGCGGTCGTACCGGGGCGGACGCGACCGACGCCGCCGAGTCGCTCGATGCTGCCGTAGCTTCCACCCGCAGCGGCCTGGTCAACGTATTTGAACCCAACCCAAGCGAGGTTCTCATGCAACAGTCCGCTAGCCGCGGAGACGACTCCACCGTGACCGCTGTCACCGCCACCCCCCTTGGCGCCGCCGCCATCACCACCACCACCGCCAACAACAACAATAACAACGGCGGCGGTGCCGGTTTCAACCAGCGACCTGGAACGTACCCCATTTCTGATCGGGATCGGATTCACAACGAGGTCCAAAATCGGATCCAGGATCGCGAACGCGAACGTGATCGGGATCGGAATCGGGACCGCCCCGTTGTGTCAGTTAGTGTGGGTCCAGGGGGCTCGCTCGTCCAGTCCTTCAGCGGCCCCCAGGGCCGTATGACAAACGTGGGGCTCGGGGGCAGCATCGCGCGAGTGGTGGCATTGCAGCCCTGAGACGAATGTCGGGGGGAATAAGAGGAGGAGATGGGTTCGAAGTACTACACGAGGGTACGAATAAGGGTACGGCGGGCGGGCGGTATGCTTGTTTGGAGGGCCCGTGGTGAGGGAAAGATAAATTACACAAGAGCCAGTGACCCAGTGTACGGCACCGGTGTGACCTTTGTGGTGTCGTGGCTTTGAGGACGGGCAGTGGTCTTGGTCATTGTGGGGTGATGGATGAAGTAAGGGAAGTGGGGGGTGGTGGAAGGGAAGGGAGAGGAAGGGCGGGAAATGGAGGTGGCCATGGGACCATGACAGGGGGCAGCAGCAGGAGCAGAGGAGCGTGCGTATGTCCCTTGTCGAAACTGCGGAATTGTGACATTACGATGGTTGGAATTATTGTTGACGTTTTACTGCTGACGCTAGTCTTAAGCATGCGCAATAGGCATACATGCTTAGGACGGAAAATGAGGCGGTGCGAGGGGGTTAGGGGTCTCAATCACGGCTGTGATGTGATGTGCTGCTGACATGTTGGTTTGGAACTTCAGGGAACTTCAGAGGTCAAGGCAGTACGGATGATGTACTACACGCCGTACTCATACCGATGTAGGGCGTTGCGTAACTCTTCCACGTGCGTCGGGTGGTCTTCACAGTTCCGAGGACTGCGGCTTTTGCGTTAAGGAACTCAAAAAACTTTACCTCCTAAAACTGTGTTGTTGTTATACACAATTTCCCCAACTTTACATCATACAAGCCTCTATCATAACATGCGTTGTCTTTCCGAATAGATAGGCGACTTTAATTTGCACACCGTACGACGTACAGCACTGTACAGCACTTCCACCTTCTCACATACCAAGCACCTCTTCACGCTTAAAAAATACATATCCAAGTCCATCACGTCATCACCTACCAGGCCCCCGATAAAAACCATGTAGCGCATAAGCCGTGAAAGCCTGGAGCCAACTCCTCCGTCAGGCAATAAGCCACCTGCACTTAAAATACTACAATATAGCAGCCATATAGCCACAATCACAACTTGCAGACTCAACATCATAACAATGACCGAACCGGGTTAACCCGGTCGGTCTATTTACCATAAATAACTTTTCTGAGAACAAAGACATCAAAATGGCTCGCAACAGCTCAACGGATCAAGCCGCCGGTGTGACGGCGGAACGATCCGAAGCAACCATATCAGTTTCCCTTCTTAGGGAAATTACGAAGATGGAGCAACCTTTTGGACAACTTCGATCACTGGCAATGAGAGCACTTTTTCAAGGAAACTACCTGGAGAACAGAAAACAGGTAATAGACATTATGGCAGGACCGATAGGACACCGAATAGTGCAGACAATACAACAGGAGCTAAAAGCTCCTTACGTTGTCGTCGGAGAACCGGTGGCTTGGGAAGCTCGCAACGACGAAGGAGTCGTTGGACAGATCAACGTCTACGTGCCGGAGGAATGGATTACGCCCGTAAAAAACTTAGCGGACCACTGCGGACGTATCAATCTAGCAGATCTCCATCTAGGAGAATACCACATTCAAGATCTTGTGGTAGACATAGTGGGGGCATCTGCCCAATATTTCCGACTGTCAGGACTACCTCCGGCATTTCCTCAGAAATGCCTATTCTGGCTTATCGCGGATGCCTACGGCTTTGACGTAGATCAATATGGAAAACAATGGGGGATAGTGGAGGCTAATCTCAATACAGCCGTGGTGTGGGTGCAATGGGATCAGCCCGCATTACCCGCCAGGATGAATATTTTCTCCATTGAGGAAGATGGCAGGCGGATCCACAGGGGGCCGTGGAGAGCGCAACACACGTACTATGATACACAGACTCCAGCTTTGCCACGCCCACCAAAGATCCAACGACGAAACCGCGTGATACCGAATCTCCCGCCGCCCATTTCGGCGGCGGCAGTCATCGCGGCGCGAGCACGGCCAAATCTAGCGACGCCAGCTGTGGGTGAGGTAGGAGGATCAAGTAATGCACGTTAACCCATGGCTTCTGGACAGCCCCAGACAATCCAGCAAACAACTCGACAACAGCAGATGCAAAACCGAGTATCCAACGAGGAGGCAGCAGAAATGGCAGGCAGAGCAGCAGCTGCCGTTGTATGACGACAAGTACAACAACAGCAGCAACAGCAACAACAGCAACAGCAACAACAGACACAGCAACAGCAAACACAGCAGCAACAACAGCAACAGCCACAACAACGACAGAACCAGCAACCACAACAGCAACAGCAGCAGATACAGCAACAGCCGCCACAGCAGCAGCAGCAACAACAGCAGCAGCTCTCATACACAACTACCAATCAACCGGTGCTACCGACATCAGCTCCTATCCCCAAATCTCACTCCATCACGCACCCCTTGCTGGGTCAACCGATTCAAGATGTAAACATTCTGGCCGGAAATAGGCCAGATGAACAGCAATGGCAACTACAAAACAGACGGACGCATCATGGAAACCCAAGTCTGCCCACTGACCAACCTGTGCTGGGCAAACATGCGGACAAACCAACGTCACGCACGTCATCTCCAGGGGTCAGTCCCCAGCACAAGAGGCGGGACTCGGTAATAAACCCGCCCAGGTTTCATGTTCTTCCACATGACGACCCGGGTGACCTCATGCAAGTCGGCGAGGAGGAAGAAGTGGGAAATAGAATAGTAGTGCGCGGAAATGGAGATACGGAAATACCCCCTAGGTAAATGGGGCGACGGACAAGATGCAGGAGGCCTAATAATAGACCCCTTCGTATAGCGTCCCATAATGTAGCAGGTTTATTTACGCATTCGGCATTTACTCGTATCCATGCTGCGGCTAGAGTATGGGCCCAACATAGGTTGGATGTCATTTGTTTACAGGAGACACATCATATGGGAGATGGAGACCTGACAATTCTCACTAGAGAATTGCAATTCGCGGCTCAGAAAATAGGGATACCGGGATGGGATATAATAGCACAATCCCCCACGACCAATGCCCGGACGGCTGGAGTGTTAGTGCTAGTGCGCAAAGATCTTTATCGCGACTTTAAAATAATACAAACACCGGCACGACTACTTCCGGCTAACATTCCCCAAGGCCGTAGCGCGTCGGTTTCGTTCACGTGGTGTGGTCACCGTATTCATTTGATTAATTTGTACCTCATGACATCTACTTACTCGATAGATCAGAGGAAGGCGTGTGTGCATTCTCTTGGCGATGTGGTAAACAGGATAGGACAGGATGATCATTTGCTTTGGGCTGGAGATTTTAATTTTGTCCATAATCCGATGCTAGATTCCACCACAGGAGAAGGGAGTAGACCCGCGGACTTGTCCTTAGCTAAGGCTTTCTCCGAATGCTGCCCGGATATGGTAGACACATATCGCTACCTCCACCCTGCCCGTCGCGACCTTTCGTTTTTCTATAAAACAGGTGTGTCGGGAGGGTCACGTCTTGATCGAATCTATACTTCCACAAACCTCACCCCCTTCATCGCTTCCTCTACCATTCCAGTGTGCACTTCGACAGACCACCGTTTAGCTATTATTGCTCTTTTACCTCGTCTTGTGAGAACGCGTGGTCCAGGCCTTCCACGGCTACACACGCATTTCTTAGATTTCCCTGACTTGAAGGGAAGCTTCTTGCAATGGATTGGTGATGAGTGTGCGCAGAGACCCGCTGAGACAGACACAGTAGCTATGCTACAATGGTGGCCGTTGTTTAAACATCGAATGTTCAATGAAGTAACTGTTCTTAATCGGCAAGCGCGAGAACGTCGTTTTCCCCCGGGGGGGCAAGTACGTTTGGCAATAGAAAATGCAACACGGGCACTAGAAGAGGTGCAGACCGAACATATGAGTACACAGAGGATCCAAGCGGCAATTGACGCCCAAGTAGCGGTTGTACAAGCGGCTAGAGCTGAAGGTGCACAGGAGGCGGAACGGGTTAGATTACAGTGGATTCGTGAGGGTGAACGACCTAGTAGAGGGCTAACTGCCCTGGTGCATCCGTCTAAGACTCTACAAGTTATTCCAGCGTTGCAAGATAGAACGGGTCGTCTTATTACAGACACGATAAAGTTGCCACAGATGGTTGCGGATTTTTGGGGAGAGATTTGTTCCTCCCCAACTCATGTGACTGAAGAGGCTAGGATGGCTGTTATAGAGGCGCTGCGGAACCGCCACCTTGTCATTCCGGAGGAGGATGCGTATCATGTAGGAAGATCGGAGGTGTCTGACGCTGAAGTGGAAGCGGTGCTCAAGGAAGTGACGCCAGGCAAAGCGCCCGGTCTAGATGGCATCCCAATTGAATTATACAAGGTGTGTCGGAACGAGATTGCACCAGTTCTTGCTCAACTGTATACAGCCATGGGCCAAACCCAAATGCACCCAGATGGCTTTTTGCAAGGTGCTATCATGGTTATTTATAAAAATCGGGGGTCTCCCACCTCCCCGGGCAGTTATCGACCGATTACCTTGTTGAATACAGATTACAGGATTCTCACCAAAATTTTAACCCGTAGGCTGAGTCCAATACTAGGGCGAATTATCACGCTCGAGCAGTCTGCTTTTCTGCCGGAGCGCTTGATAGGTGCAAATGTTCTTTTCCTGCGGCATCTACCGCAACTTATGTCGACGACAGGACAGTCGTGTCTCCTGGCTTTTTTGGATATTGCTAAAGCTTACGATTCCTTAGATCGTAATTTTTTATTTGAAGCAATGGATGCTATGGGCGCAGGAGTAGGGTTAATTAGTTGGACTAAACTTCTTTTATCCGATGCAGCGTCGAAAGCGGTAGTAAATGGTTTTGTTTCCCGTGAAGTTGCTCTTACAGCGGGTGTGCGACAGGGATGTCCGTTGGCACCGTTGCTATACTTGTTTGCCGCGCAGGCGTTACTATGTTGGTTACAGTACAACCGAGTGGGGATTCATTTACCCCAAAATAATTCAGAATTGGTTACAGGTGTGCAATTTGCTGATGATACGGAAGTTGTTTTAGAAGGAATCCAAGCAATTCCGGCTTTCCTTGACTGTATGAGGGTGTACGCACAGGCTTCTGGACAGCAACTTAACCTGGATAAGGTTGAGCTGTTACCTCTCGGCACCCACCCACATCATATAACAATAAATCAAGACTTGAAGGTCGTACATATGGCTACGGCTCTCAATCTACCTTTTACGGACGTGGGAGAAACCACAGTCAGGGACTGGGATGTGCAACTAGACAAAGTCTGGGCTCGGTTTCGACGCATCTCTGTGTTAAATCTTTCCATTTTTGGGCGTGCACATGCAGCGGCTGCATATGGGCTGCATCGTTTTACGTGGCATATGGAACACGGGGGGTTTCCCCCAGAAGCTAAACTCATGAATATTGAGGCTAAAGCGGCCAAGCTTATTGATAGGAACCTCGGACCGGTAGCACAAGAAAGACGACTCACCGGGGTTCCTAAATATTTGTTATATGGCCATCCAACTTTGGGCGGTTTGGGGGCATTAGCAGTACGACAACATGTGCAAGCGCGATGGGCATGCTGGGCAGTGCGTTTTGTGGGAGCATTACTCCAACCAGTCTTAGTGCGTCCGCCTTGGGTGATGGTCATGCAATCTTTCCTACATAGCCTTTACCCCAAATATAATCCTATGTGTATTTTTACGTCCCAGGTGGGAGTGCCTTGGTTTGGATTAATCATTTTACCGCCAGATGTTCAGCGCATTGTGACAGCGTTGGCATACCTTCCCCCAGTGGAAGATGTTGATGATCACCCGTTAGTTCCTAATGCGTGGTGTTGGAATTTGCCATTGTGGGGAAACCCTGTTCTTCCAGAAAAAAGGGTGAATGTCCAGTTAGATAACATCCGCCCAGGACTAGAATTTCGACATCAGGCCCTCCTGGGCTGTAAAGCATTGCATACGTTGGGAGATGTTCTTTGCGCGCGCGAGGCCTTGGATGGAGTTATGAAGGCAACGGACCAAGCAGGCCTAGCAATACGCAAGGCTTGGCATCAAATAGTGGATCAATACCTCCAACCGCAAACCCCACTAGCTAAATCCCTATGCACCTATCGTAGATGGCAGGAATGTATGGATGCTATTGGCGCTCTTCTAGATGATATTCCAGCGAATTGGAGACAGGCGGCTAGTCTTTTGTTGCCGCTGAGTGTAGAATCTAGGGAAGCAATGGTGCCCCCTATTGAGTCGGTTACCCAAACCCTAGTGTCGAGGCTTGGTTGGAGATGGGGTGTAGGGCCTCCAATCCGATTCCAACACTTATCCGTTAAAATAGCGACTAATATGCAACTTTTACCTTTTTCGATGGCTCGCCGTGTGGCCCATACCCTTTTCATCAAAGAGGCGACGGGTTCTTCTGAGATATTGGATGAAGCTATTCTTCTTTTGCAACGGACATTCCATCGTTTATGGTTTCATTTACGGTGGGAAAATGAACAAAAAGAGGTTTGGTGGCGTCTCGAGGTTGATGGGGTGCCTATGTTAGGAAATTCCCATCTTAGGATGTCGCGCCCAACGATTTGTGGTTGTGGAGGTTATCCAATAGGTTCAGTGGGAGGTGTATCCCCTCGCTATCATCATTTCTGGGCTTGTCCGGTGGCACAGGCAGTAGCAGATCAACTTACTCTTTCAATAGGAATGCCAGTCTCAAGGAAGCAACTTTGGCTTATCCAAGCCCCACAATCAGTGCAACAATGTGTTTGGGATGTTGTGGCTCTTGCTGCGGTGTCAGCCATGGAGCATGGGAGACGTTATATGGCTGCAAACATCAAAACCAACCCGGCACTGTTACCTGGCCCTTCCCTTACGGAAGAAGCAATTTGTCGAGTTATTGTTGACTTTTGGGGCCGCATTCAGGGTTTCGCAGCTTTGGGAATTCCACGGAAAGGTTGGGATTCCGTTGGCGTACATCACCCCTTCTTGAGAATTATATCTGGCAAATTGATGTGCTCGCGAGAGCGGTTACCGATGAGAGGTTAATTATCTGAGGTGATAATCTTTTGATATATCAGTCTCTACTGCAGTGCACGGCCAGATGGCCCGATGGCTCTACTCTTCGAGAGTCTGGAGCCCACTGTAACAACCACACACACACACCTGCAGCGCCTACTAGACCTACTCACTCTCAGTCCCTGCACGCTAGCTCCGCGCGCTGACTGAACCTCGCACTTCCCCCAGCCTCACGCGAGAATCACAAGAATAGTAACGGTAGCATTGGTAGCGTTGCTGAAAAATTGTTTAAGCCATGTACAATAATCCATCGTTCCATACAACGCTCGTACGCAGACCATCACCCACTTTCATACTATACACTGCGCGGAAAAAGGGTGTCAGGTGCCTCAACGATCACATGGCCACGACGATATCCTCAGGCCTTTGCAGCCCCTCCTGCAATGGCACCAAATGTGCCGTACTTATACCGCATCGCCGGATTGATAAAATCCGCCATCTTGGCCGCCATCTTTACAGCCACGGCACCATGGCAACTGTTTATTAACATATACTACAACATGAAGCATACCGTTGGATGTGTCGGAGGTGTACTTAACACGCAAAAGTGACGCAATCTTAGCGGATTTGACTTTGTCGAGTTTTGTCTTCAGGAGACGTCACGACGCGGTCACCAGATCTGACTGAGATCGCATAATGTGCCACCATGAAGCTTCCAGGATGCGGATTCAACTCCGCAACTCATAAACTAGTCCCCTCAGCAAAGTCGTCTCCTGGAGGTTGAAAGCGGCATGCCGTAGCACGTGAGAAACGAAGCATGCGAGGAAGAGCCGACGGTCAACTCGAGCGCGTCACGTGATCGTTTAAAAAGGTCTGGTTGCGCAGGGAAGGGAGCACTCGGAGGAGCCTGGCGCTGTGGAAGCCACTTTTTCAAAGCACTCAGCAAAACTCGGCTCGCATAGCACATGAACCGTATGGATATATATATTTTTTCCTATGTAAAGACTTTTCACCAGACTTTCCCCTGCTTTTCACGACACCAGGGAGCAATTTGGAAGTCGTTTTCGTGCGAAGCCGCCGCATCTAAGAAAGGTTACAATTACATCGTTTCCTGTAAAACTCAACTTGGAACTTACCTATGTATTCCTCATGGCTTACGCGGAGCTCGCTGGTTGGAGTTCGTCCACGACGGCCGGCGAACGTCAGCCGGACTCTCCCCGCAGAGAACCATAACCTTTGGGGATCGGTTATTCTGTAGTTCCCCAAAGTTCGATTTCGTTCTCACGTAGCTTTGTAAGCGGCGGCTCGCGCAACCTGCTGTCCATGACATGCCCATGGCTAGGCCCGCAACAACGGGATCAAATGCTTCGCTTGTAGTTGACAAGCCGTACTTCAGAGTATAATTTGTATGGTTGCTGTAACTAAGTCGTCTCAGGACTTGTTGGCCAAAAGGTTGCGGAGAGTTTGGGAACATTTGAAGTGTGTCAAGGAAGAGATAAGACAATACGGGTAAGGGTATCTGGAGCATATATAGACCTGAGATTAAAAGGATACATTTTGTTTCATTCCTAAAACGAGTCTTTCTGTAATGCAAAATAAAACCATTTTGGATCCACTTGCAACGGACATGCGTCAGTTGCAACTATGAAACCGCAATGCTGACGATCAACCGACCAAGGCGGTTTACTGGACAAACGAAAAACAAACCTGGTAATCCCAAGCTTCCTGAAGTGCACAAGATATTGCAAAGTCTATGGGAGCACAGTACTACACGCGACCGTCTCGAACCTCGAGTGTCTCCGTTCAGGATGTAAACGGGTGATAGAGGAATGTTCACTGAACGGGTCTTGAAATGGTCAGCAGTGACCGGTTTGATAAACCGTCAGTAAATCCTCACCAACTGTTCACTGAACGCTCAGGAGAGCATCTTAGGGCATCGCGGAAATTAAATGAGCATGAGTGCGTAGAAACCAACGTAAATCAAGGACTGGGCTTCATGGGGACATTGTAACATCCCAATTTAACGCACGTTGTACCGCTACATCATTCGCCATGCCCCGCATCGATGCCAAATTCTTGGCTCTGCCGCGTCCAGGGCTTAGGTGTCGGCCTTCCACAGCGTTTGCTCCCTCCACAGCGTTTAGGCCACTAGGTATATTCGCCTTTTGAGAACACCCTAGCCGGTTCCACGTCTTTAGTCTGTGGCTTCTGGCTGTTTGTTCTTGCTCCTGTCCTGGAGGGTTCGCGCAGGGCCCTGTGTACCCGCTGCCACTAACCTGCTGTGACCTGTGATATATTAGCGATATGGGGAGTGAATTCTGCTCAAGGGCTGTTGTTCCTCACTGCACTGCACTGCACTGCACTGCACTGCACTGCACTGCACTGCACTGCTGCCTACACTGCCAAAAGGCGCTAAGGTGTGTAGACAGCTGCACACCGCAGCACAATACAACACAACGGATTAGATAAAATCAAATCAAATCGAGTCAAATCAAATCAGAGAGCTCCGGTGAAAAAACGAACACCTGAGGGAAGACATCACAGCCACCTGCGACCCGGGTTCCCCTCTGTTCATCATAAAAAGACACAACAGTCGTACAACAAGGCGAATGGTAACGGGTAACATCTTATAATACTACCAAAAAGCCCTCTTTAACAACTACCAACACCTCCTTCCCCCGCCTTGCTGCTGCTGCTGCTGCTGCTGCTGCTGCTGCAATCTGCCGCCAGCCCGGCTCGGGTGCTCTGTCCTCACCCCCTGCCAGATCCTCGCCTCGCCGGGAGGTCCCACCGCACCCTCCAACAGCTTCGGCGGAGGGGCGAATCGCCTCATTGACCTCTTTCTGATCTCTTTCTGATCTCTGCACCATCAAACACGCACATCCAACAAGGCGCTGTCACCGGCAAACCCATCCGCGCCAGCCGCCCAGCCGCCCACCCAGTCACCCCGCCCTCCTCCCCATCAAATGGTATGTTCCTCCGTCAGCAGCGGGTCATGAACTCCATGTCGACTGCCTAATCCCGCATGCAGTACAACGTGCGGCGGCGGCGGCGGCGGCGGCACCTCTACATCCGCATCCATCGGCAGCCCTAGAGAGCCACGCCGCCGCTGTACGGAAGCAGCGCCAGCGCTATCGCCGTGCTCCGCGGCAGCCGCCGCCGCCGCCGCCACGTCCTCGGGCCCCGCCGGCGCCGCACCCGCCGCCGCCGCTGTAGCCGCTGTAGCCGCCAGCAGCCCTGCCTCCGACGCCGCCACCCTTCTCAGCGCCTTCCGCGCCTCCTCTGACCAGTCGAACCGGAGGATGCTGCCCAACAGGATGAAGGCCTGAGGTTGCGGGTTTTGGGCGGGTGGGTGGATGTGTGGCGATAATACAGGGCGGGATGGGGTGGGGCGGAGAGCATCATTCTCGAGGGCAAAGTCCGGGAGCAGGGAGAACTGCCAAGTACCAAGTACCAGATCCAAGCCACCAAGTAATGTAAAGAGGGGTGGGGGATGAGACAGTTGACAGTTGACAGTTGGACGATGGACGGGCAGATAGAAGTATCCAAAGCAAGCCACCACTCCCCCACCAGCGTTTCTCCTGTCAACCAACACAGCCCGTACGACGTGTCGTACCTGCAAACCGGACGCAAGTCCCATAGCTAGCCACAGCCCCATGGCGCCCTTGTGCTGTCGGAGTGCCAGGTACGCGGCCAACGGCAAGCCGAGGAACCAGTACGCCTGGTACGGCAATAAAAGGGGTTGCGTACGGCAACACACGGCAACGAAAAAGGCAAGAGTACGTGCACATGTGTGTCAATGAAAAGAATGCAGCAAAGCTGCCGGTGTCGCACGGGGGCCTCGTATCGCCCCCCTCCGACATCCAACCCGGATCCAACCCCAAACCCTAAGTTCCGCCTGTCACCCTCACCGCCAAGTTGACTTTAAACGCCAGCTCCTGCCTCCCGCTGCCCCTCAGTACCCCGCCGCCCACAGCCACCAGAGAGTCAGCCAGGTTTGACACAGTCAGCACCGGCATTAGGGAGACCACTGCCGGGGGGGTGAGGAGGGGGGGTTGAGGGAGAAGGGAAAGGGTTGAGGGGGGGTGAGGGAGGGAAAGGGGGGTTGAGGGGGGTGGAAGAGGAGGGCAAGGGAGGGGAGAGAGGAAGGTTGTCCAAAGCGTGCCCAAAGCGTGAGAGCTTGAGAAGGGGGAGGTTGGAAGTGGGAAGGGATACAGACGAATACAACACACACGCGCCACCTGAACACGAACGAATACCCCCTCGCCTCCCCTTTCCCCCCTCCATGGAGCAACTTGAGCATCCATGGCGGGGGGAAGGGAAGCAGGGGGGAGGAACGTAGTGCGAATGAAAAGAACAAGATTGAGAAGCAGCAGGCACATGTGGACAGACAGACAGACAGGCAGACGGACACTACAGACAGACGCGAACAGACAGACGAAAAGGTAACAACATCAACCACCAGCACCACAGAGCTTTCAGGTGTAGGAACACACATACACACATACACACATACACACATACACACATACACACACGCACACAGCAAAACCCATTCCCAGCTCACCCCCAGATACCCGCCCACACGCAGCGGGGGATGTTCCGCCTCACCCACCCACCCACCCACCCACCCACCCACCCACCCACCCACCCACCCACCTAGATTGGTGATGTTGACATCCTGCGTGAACAGCTCCACCCAGCGCCGGGCGCCGCTTAGCAATCCCCCGCTCACACCCAAGGGGGCGCACAGGCCCAGAGCAAGAGCCACGACCGCGGCGAAACGGGCGTGGCGACCGCGGCCCGCGCCTGGGGTAAAAGGTACGGGGTACGGCGATATGATGTACGACAGTGTACGGATTACAGACGTGGTTAGCCCCGGGCCCGGGGCCCAGAATCCGGATCCCGATCCAACCCCACTGGCATGAAAACTGGGGACGCCCACATCAAAAGGCCTCATTAGAATCCCGGATCCAAAATGGTTCCACCACCATTTTAGATCCATTTGGGGATAACGCTCAGGTACGGCCCCTGTCTTGGCCCCTTGGGTCGGGCTCTACCCTGTCGGCGGCTTTGCTGTGATGTGAATGCGGTACGACGGATTGCACGTGGCGTCTCCACCCCACACCCACTCATCCACTTACCTAACTCATTAGACACGCGGGTGGCCGCTGCGGAGCTGAATCCCGCTACCAACATAAACAGTAGCGCGTGGGTATCGAACGCCAGACCTGATGGATGATACACACAAAAAATACAATTCGATCCTCAAGAAACAAGACCAAAGTAACACCTCTATATTTTCGCATCCATTATAAAGGGGAACGAGCACACCAAGCAGAAGGGAGGCATCCAGGAAACCTAAACAGGCCGAGCACGTTCCCACGGTATTTCATTTTTTAATAAAAATTGTAAATATAAACATAATTACCCCTAGAGGCAACCAAACCCTGGCTGGTCGGCTGACACGACGCCCATCATCGCCGTCCGCTGCGGCCACCTGCCACCGCCCTAACCCCCTAACGAGCTCTTTTCCTTTGCAATCAACCGCCAACACATCACATCACATACCCCGCACACATTCCCTCCCATCCAAGCCCCGCCCTCCCTTCCCAATTGCCCAGTGTACCACTCCGCCACCCGGGCCCACCCACCCATCGCCCCGAGCTGCACTTTCGCGTCCGGCAGCGCTCCGGCGATGATGACCGCCGCCTCGTACACCCACCAGTCCAAGCAGATGGCGGCAGCGGAGGGCAGCGCAATCTGCCGGCGGCGGCGGTGGTGGTTGAGGTGGTGCGGGTTAGTGGGAGGTGAGTTAGGAGGGGGGAAAGGAGGGGGGAAGGAGGGAGGGAAGGAGGGAAAGACTAACCACGAACGAGTGAAGCTGCTGCCAGGGCAAGAGTGTACCAAGGGAGGGAGGGAGGGAGGCAAAAAGTCTACATAGGCCAGCAACATTAACAGCTAGGTACATGAGGAATGACGACGGGACGGAAAGTGGTCAAAGGACAAGACAGGGGGGAGAAAGGGACCGGGGAGGTTGTGTGTGTGTGTGTGTGTGTGTATATTGGGGGGGGGAAAGGATGCGGGGGGAGGGAAGCCCGGTTAAAATTTGCAGGAGTAGAGTTGGGTGCGGTGTTGGTGTTGGGTTTAGGGTCAACAGAACAAAACATCCAATCTGACCGAGATGTCCAACATAATAAGGGCATCTTCAGGGAGGGGGGTTGCAGAGCGGCTAGGGGGGCGCAAGAGCGGCTGGGGAAGCGTGGAAGTCTCGGTGTGTTTGGAGCCCCCCTCCCCCTTTCTCCCTTCGCAGGGGAGATTTATATAGATCGTGATCCTGACAAAAATGCAATAAAACACGGAGCTTCACCTTCTCTTCCTGGACATACATAGGTAGAGCACGCACCAATGCCCCTGGGAGATCCCGGGATCGAGACCTGTCAGATTCGAAAATCAATCCGATGGTGGAAGGAAAAGAGGTCCTGGTCGAAGGACGGTGGTATCCTGGGAAAAAGTTGACTTTCAAGCTGACCAGGAAAGGAGTTGAACCGCCGCCGATCCGGCAGATTCCGTTGGATCCCGGAGGTGGGTGCGGAACCAGAGCGATCCACTGAGAAGTTGGCTAAGGTGGCTGGATGACAGGTTCCCCGAAACACTGCGGAAGACAGGGTCTGCCGGGTAGCGGCTGCAGGATGAAGATATGGCCCCCCTCTCCCCAGCTGCATCACACACCCCCGCACCCCCCCGCCCCACCATCCCAGTTTCAAGGCCCACTCACCCGCATGTATTCGCCCCAGCCTTGAAACGCCTGCTTCCTGAAGCCGCCCCATGTACGGCACTCAGGTGCCTGACGAAACACATGCAGCCACACCATGGCTACAACCAGCAACGACAGCTCCAGAACCTCCAGTGGGTGGGTGGGTGGGTGGGTGGGTGGGTGGGTGGGTGGGTGGGTGGGTGGGTGAGTGGGTGGGTGGGTGGGTGGGTGGGTGGGTGGGTGAGTGGGTGGGTGGGTGAGTGGGTGAGTGGGTGGGTGGGTGACGAGAGAGAACAGGGGGTGCACCACATCATGTGAGTACGGAAGTTCCCACAGCCTTGTGGGTCCGGGGGGTCAGAGTGTTGGGGTGTCGGGTTGTCGGGGGGTTGGGGGTTTGGGGAGAGGCGGCAATGAGGTGAGAGGGCTGAGAGGGCCTGCACCTATCAACAGATCACAAAATACACACGTTTACACATACACACTCACACAAGCACATAAACATGCACATGCAGAATTGGTTTACAGCACCGCCTGCGGCTTCGCGCTGTTTGGCTGGGGTCCACGTCATTAGCGAAGTTTCGTACATCCATAAATCCGTACACCCATACACGTGGGGTTTTACACGCACACGCACATACCTGTAGTACGTTGTACGCCACTGCCGCTCCCAGCATGCCCAGGCCAAACTGGAACATGAACACGTGGTTTAGCAGTGCAGTAGATGCCGTATAAATGCACGACACCATCGTCAGCGGTGCCACCACCCCCTGCGTCCGCGTTGGTGGGGGGGGGGCCGAGAGGAAATGGTTCGTGGGGAACCATTGGGGTCCGTGGGGCGGGGGCGGGGGCGGAGGCGAGAAAGGAAAAAAGAAAAAAAGAAAAAAAGAAAAAAAGAAAAAATAGAAAAAAGGAAAGAAAAGAATAGAAATAATAGAAAAGGAAAGGAAGCGAAAAGAATAGAAATAATAGAAAAGGAAAGGAAGCGAAAAGAATAGGAATAATAGAAAAGAAAAGGAAGCGAGCGAGAAAGAGAAAACATTTCGGCCGTCGAGAAAGTTGCCGCATGCCTCATGTCAATCGTGGAGTGTGGCCTGCGACGCTCTGTATGCACGTATGTATGCACGTATGTATGCATGTAGTGCGTATTTTGTGGTAAAGAAACCTGCCAGCGTGGGCTCCACCGATGCAGCAACCCACGCAACCACACCAACCGCCCACCTGACTACTCAGGTAGTTTTTTATACAACCGCTAACCGCCCAGCAGCACAGCGCCGGCCACAGCATCCGAACATATCCGGCCGCCAGCGGCACCACCTCAGTGTGCTGCCGCATGACCGTGATCATCACCCAGTCGGCCCGCACCCACAGCGCCAGCGGGAGGGCGCAGGTGAGGAGGCAGATCAGCGCGGCTCGCTGCAGCACCAGGCCCAGGAGCGGGTAGTGGGCAGCGCCAAAGGCCTGCCCGCAAAACGTCTCCACGGCGCTGCCCATACCCACAACTCTGTAGGCGGAGGAGGAGCAGGAGGGGGAGGAGGAGGAGAGGGGGGAGGAGAGGGGGGAAAGACGAACCACAAACGAGTGAAGCTGCTGCCAGGCCAAGAGTGTACCAGACGTAGAACTGACCAAGGGGGCAGGAGGAGGAGGAGGAAGAGAAGGAGGAGGAAAGGGGGGGGGGAGGAGGAGGAGGACGAGGAAGAGAGGCAGAGTGGGAGGAGGGTGTTTGGGTGGCGACGAGTGCATGGTAGTAAACAGGGATTCCGGTAAAACCCTAAAACCCTGGAAACCACCCACCCCTCCAACAATCCCCTTCAACCCCCCAACCTCAACCCAAGACCCCCCAAACCCCAGCCTCACAGCGACAAGCCGGTGATGTGGAACATACTCCTTGCGAGCGTTACGGCAGAGAGCTCCAGACGGCCCAGATGCCCAACCTGCCGTACAGACAGATGTGCGATACATGCCGTACGTGTCGTGCGGTATGGCCACGACATGGAATCATCTGGAATTAGCGCCGGGGCGTATGTATGTGTGTCGTTTGGTGGCACATACATACTGACAAACATAACATCAAGGAACGCGGCGACTGGATGGGAATGGGCGTTTGGGAGTCGCGTCGTGTGTACATCTGCCGTTCGTATTCCCGAATCCACTGTATGCCGTACACGCACCTGCGCGGTCGTGATGAGATAGGCGACGAAGGACACCACCTCGCTCAACGAGATGGGCACGGCAAGCCGGAGAATACTGCCGTACAGAGGTACAGAGGTAAACGTGCGGAGAAAGAGGACACGAGGGGTGTGTGTGGAGCGGCTCGGGAGAGGAGGGGATTCAGAGGGAATTCCAGCGTGTGTGTGCCTTGCGCTAGGCGAATGACATACTGACTGACATACAGCGTTAAACATTTACATGCAGGCATACCCGCATGTATACATACATACAGACGCACAGGTCGCGACCAGGAAATTCTCATAAAATTCGGGAGTTGATGTTGATGATGATTGTTCTGTATCACATCGCGCGCCTTGCCCTTCTGGTCGCCGCATCCGCGGGAAGGGAAGGCGTGCGCATGTTAGCAGAGGTCACCATCTACGTGTCAATATGAGTTACTAAGGTAAAGGTGCAGCAAGAAAGGACTAGCAGCGGGAGGTTCCCAAGCTGTGACAGGGGTGCCAACGGATAGCGGATCGCGGGCATCAACGGACCTACTTTGAGGTCGCGAGGTTGGGTTACTAAGCCTGAGCAGCAGATTTAAATCTCAAGTGCTTAGATGGCTCTTTTAGGTTCTGGTCGTTCACGTTCTCGTTGAAATGGAGTTGAGGCTAGACGGAAACGAAATTGCAGGGTGGTTGTCCCGACACGAGATGGGTCGGCGGGTCGCAAGCTGGAATCACGGCGCGAACCAAAACATAACCAGTACATTTTTGGTAGATCATCTGCCTGCTTCGGCAGAGCACAACAGGAGGGAACGCACCGCTTTGCCTCAGGCCACCATGCCCTCTTTTGGGCAGTGCTTTCATCCTCAAGCTTAAATGGGTAGCTGTCTCCTAATTTTGCATCATTTGCTCCATGCTCCGTTCCCAGCAGTGGTGTGCGCTGGTCGTCCAGCTGCATGGTTTATATGGTATCTCTGGCTATTAACTAAAGAGGTTTTAAATGTCTATGAAAGCGCACTTTCCCTCAGCGTTGAAGGTTAAGCTCAAGGAAGCTTCAACATAACGACCTCGTCGCCTTGTGGGGCCTCGGGAATTTGAGTAGTTAAACCGACGGTTGTACGATTTGTACGCGGTTTCAACCTTTCCGCTTTTCCACCCTGCGGCCTATGGTCTGTCCAGTGTTGATTTGTTAGTAATTGGAAATGGCCGGTGCGGACGAGGCGGACTACTTGGAGCTCCTTGTTGCCAACAGCCGAATCGGCGAATGGGTGGACCGTATTCGAGCCCGTGGCAATCCAGCCAGGTGTGTGGATTAACCATGTTAAACTATTGAAAAGTCAAGCGTACACTCGTGCCTGAAAACTTATGCGTCGCTCCCATGCTATAATTTCGGCCGCCGCTGCAGACAAAAGCAGGCGCTACTGCTCCTGAAGCAAGCGGTCGAGAACCGCAGCACCTACGCCGAGGAGGCGCGTCAGGCCGGCGTTGTGCCGCTCCTGACCCGTCTGCTAGGTCTGACAGGTGCGTCATCATCATTGCCGGCCGTCCATAGGGCCCTATTCCCCCGACATATGCCTCGGACTACGCACACACTGCCTCACCATATATTTCCTCCGCCTCCCGTTGTGCATCCCCGCCTGTTGCTGCTGTGTGGCTGCTGCCGCTACCAGGCTCCCCCCCGGAGGACCCGGTACTTGCAGGCAGGTTGTCGTCTAGAGGGGGTTGCCAGTTTCTTGTTTCCACCGCGCCGCATATCATGTTGTGCGGCCGCGTCCTGCGGCATCCTGGTCACCAGGTCATTTTCCAGTTCTCGGCGCGAGGTTATATTACAACCGTCTCCACCTTTGCCGCCAGCGCTGACACCGCAAGAGAACGCAGAGCAAACCTTCTCTCTCTCTCCCTCTCTCTCTGTGGCACTCTCTGGTACTGAGTTGAAATGCCATAATCGCCCCGGCGTGTTCGAAGCCTCAAAAGACCATTTATGACGTCATAGTCTAATGACATCTCATTTTTCATTTTGCCATTGTTGGCTCTCTCTCTGATTTATGTGTGTGCCGCTGCTGACGACTCTACGGATGCGCGAACGGCCGGATGCAGAGGATGAGGAGGTGTTGGACGCTTGCTCGGCCATTATCGCTGCTTGCTCTGGCCCTATGGCGACAGCCGGCAAGGTGATCCTCTTTCGCTGCTGCTGCTACTGCCACATCTGCTGCTGCTGCTGTTACTGCCACAAACCGCCTATGAAAATGGTATGCATACCTGCACCCCGAAGCTGACGTATGCACCATCTGGGAGTTTTCGGAGTACCTAGTCATCGGCTAAACCACCATTTACCACTTATCGACCGCTGCCGTACCGCCAGGTCAGCACCTTTACGTACGACAATGCTGTCGTACACATCCGTGAGGGCGCCCTGGGCGACGGGCTTGGCGCCAAGGTGTGGATGGTAGCGCACATGTTGTGTTTGGAGCTGGCTTCGAACCGGGAACTTGTCGCCGGACGCCGAGTGCTGGAGCTGGGCAGCGGCTGTGGCGTCTGCGGCCTGGCGGCAGCGGCGTTGGGTGCCGGACATGTCGTGCTCACCGACGTGGAGGGCCCAGTACTCCGAAACCTCCGCTCCTGCATGCACCTGAACCACACGTCCTTGACGAAGCGCAGCGACGGATACGGAGGCGCGGCCGTGTACAGCAACACAAGCACACGTGTCACTGGCCCTGCGGAGGTGTCGACCGCGGTACGGTACGGCAAAGTACGGGATTCGCTGGCGACGGAGGCGCCGGCGTTGCCGTCCGACGCGGAGCTGTTTGACGAAGCGGAGGAAGTGGAGGATTTTGACGACATGATGTCGGATATGATGGCCGTGGACGGCGCCAGGAGCGGCTCAGGCAGCGGTGACGGGGACGAGAAGAACCTCCGACCCGTGGGTCATTCGCCAGCAGGACCTGCGAACGACACATCCAATGCCGCTGGCGCTTCATGCAGTAGTAACCCCTATCACGACCCTCACCACCGCCATCATCATCAGCAGCAGGGCCTAGCATTAGAGACGGCCTGGGAGGTGGGCAACACATCCGTCCGGTTGCTCGACTGGGCCGAATCAAGATCCCTCTTGGACAGCGGGGTGGTGCTGGAGGAGCTGGGGCCGCAGTCCGCGGGAGTAGCAGTAGCAGAGGCGAGGACGGCGGAGGAAGGCTCCGCCGGTGGCACTGCGGCAGGCGGTGAGGCGGACATGCCGCCCGCCATCCCCGTGTGGGAGCGCTTCCCCGTAGTGATTGGCTCGGAGGTGGGTTTGGGAGGTGGGGCAGTGCGTGTGGAGGGTCGAAGACATTCTTGCAAAAAGCACAGGGTCAGCTGCCTCTTTAGGGTGGGGTAGGCAGAGGAAATGGCGAGCTGCGTGGAAAAGCTGGGTAAGAGTGTGTGTGTAGTAGGGGGAAGTGGGCCCCATAGAGGGGGAACCCAAAGTTGATGTGGTGGTGCGATGTCCAGGGGGGCTCTCGTGGGTTTTAGCAGCGGATGGACCCCATTCTTGGTGAGATGCTCTCCGAACCCCTTCCCCCTCCAATCCGTTTTCCTTCCCCTGCCGACTCGCGTACGGCAACCTTGCAGGTCATGTACGAACGAGTACATGCGGAGCTCGTGGCGGCTGTCCTGAAGCACCGTTTGGCACCAGGAGGCTGTGCCGTACTGCAGTGTGCCGTACGGGAGCTCAAGGTGCGCACAGCTGAAGAAAATTAGACACGGAAAACACAGTCACATGGACACAGTTTCACATCGCTGTGGGATTTATTCTCGAAAATTGTTCTTTGCTCGGCCTTTGCTTTCCTTTTCTTCGTACGCAGGTCTTTGAACACTTTGCTCGGGAATGTCGTCGTCGGGCTTTGCGCTACCGCCACCGCCACGTGGACCCGGTGACGCTGTTTAACCCCGCCACCCCGGGCGGCGGAGGGAGCGCGTGCCCGTTCGAGGGCATCTTGGGCCGTGCGGATGAGTACGAGGGGGGCGTGTTGTTGATGGCCATTGACCACGAGGACAGTCCCTGCATGCAGTGGCACCGCGACGACTGGGAGGCGGGGGTGTGAGGGACTAGGCGGCGCGAGGGGGCTGAGGAAGGGGGTCCCGCGCGTGACGGCTTCCGTCTGGACGGCTTTGGAAATGGCTGAATAGAATGAATCACCGGAGAGTGGCCCCCTCCGTGCAGGGGCCTGCGTGTGCACGCATGTGCTTGTTTTGTGGTGCTGCGCCAGTCTTATTAATATTTCGTGATTCTTCTTGCGCTTTGGCGGAATACTGCTGGCGTATGTGTGTGTATACATGAGGGGCACTGGAGGGAGCGAGAGGAAGTCGTGAGGGGGTGGTGGGACAGCCGTGCTGAAGGGCAGATGCAGTGGTGGTAGTTGTGTGTGTGTATGTAATGACATGGGTCCTTGAGGGATTTGGATTGTTCGCATCGGTCTGTGATGCCGTACTGGTTTCTGTCGTACTGGTGCGGTTTGTGTTTTTTCGGTTACGCAAATCCTCTTTGGGTTGGCGGACTGGCGTGGGCGTTACGGATGCGTCTTGGGGCAGGTGCGGTTGAGTTTTAGCGGACGGTGTATAGCGCGAGCTGAGGTAGTGGCTCAGACCGACTGGGAGAGAGTGAGCGAATTATTTACTACGGGTACTGTGCATGTGGGGGCAGGCAAGCCGCCAGTGTACTACTTCTGAGGGTCGCGCGGTTGTTGTGCGGCTTTTGGCTGGGGTCTACGGTATCGGGGGTTGCGGTGTCTGAGGCAATGGCGGTACGGCATCCGTGCGGCGTCTTGCGGGCCTCAGTGATGGGAGTGCAAGATTCACTGCTACCCTTGTGCCCTTGCGCATACCAGACGCGGCATAGCAGCGGCAGCAGCAGCAACAACAACAGAGAAATAAAGCTACTTGATTGATAGGAGTGGATATACTTGGGGAGCGGTCTGGCATTATCGAGGTTGCTGAGGGAAGGCACGGACTGTTTCATCTTTATTTCTTCCTGATGTGTGATGTTCCGGGTCAATTTCGTTCTTCCACGGCATGCTGGAAGATGCGAAGTCCCGCAGACTGGAGTCTTGGACGGTTGATCAGTGATGCCGCCATGCATTTGGCGAAGTGGTACATGATAATCCTATCTTGCTGATGATCTGGTAATCTTCATGATGGTTGGAATGGGCGAAAAGTTGTACCTCAAAAGGCGCCGTGGTGGGAATGCTGTCATAGGTCAGTGGATGGATGCAGTGTTTCGTGGGTATATTGTGTGCTATACTTTATGCCTCAAAATCTTGCTGTTTCTACCTGTCAACCTGTCAAGAGCCATATATGTCAAGGGCGTTCAGTTTGACAGGGCATGCGTGCGCTAGGTGGATTAATGGTTCTCTTCTCTATGGCGGATTCGCAGCGCTGTGGTCTGATCTGCTTTGTATGTCGTGCAAGGCGCGCTGCATATCGTACAGCTCGGCAGGTATCCTTTGGGGTGAAATGGTGATGTGGGTCGGGAGCTAAATTAGTGTTGGGACAAACTTCTGCGTTTCCAGGATAGTTTGGCAGCCTTCGGCTGCGGCCTGAAGTCAGGTCAGGTCCAGTCCTTACATATATATGCAGTTTGTTGACGCAGGGTATTCGACGGGCCATGGAAATGTCGCTGGCGAGCACTTACAAGCACACAGATTAGCTGGTTATCGAGCGGCCCTCTGCCGTTCGTGGATGTTTGGGAGATGGGATGGATGGAAAACGGGCATCGGGGATCGTGTAAGGGAGCTGAATGGATCGCGTCTGGGCTTTTTGGTTTTCAGCACCCGTCCTGGGCTCCTGGCAACGCATCGTTGTTGAAATGGTCCACCATAGAAAGGTTGCTCTTGTGCCGATTCGGTTGAAGCTTATCAACGGTAGCAGCAGTACGGTTCCCAGGCAGGCGACAGTCAGGGAGATTCCGGCTGGTTACGGCGGGCGTGCTTTGCTCGACTAAAGCGCGCGGCTTCACAGACATGCCTAGGGAATGCTGCATAGATAAAGACCGTCGTTTAGGTTTTACTGTGAGGTGTACAGGGTACACCTCACCACTTATCATAAGCGTCAGTGTCGGTATAATCCAAACTGGTAATAGAAAGAATGCGCTGACCAATGTTTAGTAGACTAATAGGTGTCCAGACATTTAAAGCATTTCACTGCATCGAATGCTTTCGTGTCCTTGTCGTTTTCGTTCGTACAACTGCCGCCAAGAGAGACATGAAATCGGCGGTCAGCTCTGCCTAAAGAAAAGGGGTTGTGCATTAAATCCCGGCTAGGCCCTGAGCTTGACTATTTAAACTTTCACTGTACCTAACACGGAAGATGTCGGCCGATACGGTGCATGAGCAGTATGCCTCTGTGTCCAAGCTTGCGAAATATCCATTTGAGCCGTATTGGCCTGACAAGAAGCTGAAGATTTGTGTTACGGGCGCCGGGGGCTTCATTGCTAGCCATTTGGCTAAGCGTCTTAAGTCAGAAGGGCACTACATTGTTGCTTGCGACTGGAAGCGGAACGAGCACTTCGCGGTAAGGGGGATGTCGAACAGCTTCATGCTGGCTTATGGTTGTAATTCAGGTTTAGGGGAGCATCCTTGTGATCTGTAACATTGTATTATTGGGCGTTCACTCCTTATAGGAAGGAAAATGTCGAGAAGGTTTGTAAAACATGTAATCCTTAGGATTTCTTGTGGATATCCCTTGGATTGAGAAGTTTGTTACTAGCACGGGCAGGTGCAGACCGGAATGGACCAGTTTGAAGGGAACGTCGAGCACGTCATTCAACGGTTTGCAGGTATAGGTCAAGGCTTTAGTACGGTTTATACGTGTATAGTGAGATGCGTTTGTGAAACCCGTCAATTTCCAAATCACTTCCCTGGCTTTGCACCCGACCCCACGGCCAGCCGCCCCGCCCTATGTGGTCCCCGTCTGAAACCTTTCCCTTGCCTTAGGCCCCGTGCGTATGTCATCTGCCTATGTAATCTCTCCTTGCCTTAGGAGGAGGAGTTCTGCCACGAGTTTCATCTGGTGGACCTCCGGTTGTTCGAGAACTGCAAGAAGGTAGCCGAGGGATGCGAGCACGTCTTCAACCTTGCTGCGGACATGGGTGGCATGGGTTTCATCCAGTCCAACCATTCCGTCATTTTGTACAACAATACTATGGTGTCGTTCAACATGATGGAGGCTGCACGGGTCTGTGGCGTGAAGAGGTGCGGCGGCTACACGTGGATATCCATGGGCTGAGGATATGCGTAGTGCAGCGCGTTAGCCTTACCTGCCTTCGGAGTTATTATGCAGGATTTGAGAGGCACTTGTGATTTAGTCAATTTAGTTTCCTCAAAATGTTTAGTGGGTTCCTGCTACTGCAGATTCTTCTATGCCTCGTCCGCCTGCATCTACCCGGAGTTCAAGCAGCTTGACACCCAGGTGGAGGGCGGTGGCCTCAAGGAGGCGGATGCATGGCCCGCGCAGGTGAGGGAACGCGGAACGGCCAAGAAGGAATTTGTTGACCCGACCCGCCCACAAAAGACGTTGATTTCTATACAGCAGCATCCTGTCTATCACAGCGGTACATGTTTTTGTGGATGCTTGTCGGTGGCGGTTCCTATATACTGTTGCTGGAGGCCTGTGCAAGACCCTGCCAGCTTCTCTTTTTGGATCCGTCCTCAATGAATGTCATTTCCGCCCGTTTTGTGCAGCCTCAAGATGCATACGGTCTTGAAAAGCTTGTAAGCGAGGAGCTGGGCAAGCATTACGGCAAGGACTTCGGAATTGATGTCCGCCTCGCGCGCTTCCACAACATCTACGGCCCGCATGGCACGTGGAAGGGTGGCCGTGAGAAGGCTCCCGCTGCCTTCTGTCGCAAGGTGAATCCGCATTGCGGAGTTGAATACGGAAACTGTGTGCTCGTGTTCCGGGACATTTATGGATGCAAAAAGCAATCGGTGCTTGGGAATTGCAAATGTACGAGGTAGATTGCGTCCAGTTGATGTCAGTTGGGCTTCTCGTCTACAGGTTCTCACGTCCACCACGGAGATTGAGATGTGGGGTGACGGCAAGCAAACTCGCAGCTTCACCTTCATCGATGACTGCGTGGAGGGCATCTTGCGGATTACCAAGTCCGACTTTACGGAGCCCCTGAATTTGGGATCTACCGAAATGGTGTCCATGAACGAAATGATGGAAATGGCCATGTCATTTGAAGACAAGAAGCTGCCGATAAAGCACATCCCAGGTCCTGAGGGTGTGCGTGGCCGCAACTCGGACAACAAGCTTATCTTGGAGAAGCTTGGCTGGGAGCCCACAGTGTCGCTCCGGGACGGCCTCAAGTATGTAACCTGGTTTCTAATGTTTTATTGACATTCGCATGACATTATTCGTGTAGACCAATGATCTCGATAGCTTGGCCATCTCGCGTCCCGCCTCTCAGGCATTTGAAGTGGATGTTTGCGGTGCGCAGGATGACGTACTTTTGGATCAAGTCCCAAATCGAGAAGGAGGCTGAGAGCGGCGTGGACGCCAGCAAGTACAGCCATAGCACAATTGTGCAGACCAGCGCGCCGGTGGAGCTCGGTTCGCTTCGCAAGGCTGATGGACAGGAAGGATTCTAAGGATTTCTTTAATGCATGCCGTACTATGTTAGCTGCTCTTTTACCGAGGTGTGACTTGATGCAACGTCAGTTACGGGGCATTTCCGCCCTAGTTCAACGTCCGCGAGCAGTGAAGGTCGGTATTACCGCAGTATTCCTGCGGGTGGCAACGGAGTTTCAGGCAGGTTTGGACATAAATTACAGCTTTCACGTGTCTAATCATGAATTTAGACGTCCCGCAACTGGCTTGTATCGGGAGATGAATCTTGGCTCGGATTACTTATGCGCGCTTTACTTGGTCAAACCTATGATAATGTACTATAAAGGCTTTCGTGTAACATTGTCGTGGGGTTGTGTAGGTGCATAAAAACATGTATGTCTAAATAAATAGGACATAACCAGTATGAGCACAGCTTTCATAGGACTGTCGCAGATCAGTATCCGTTCCGTTCGCGCTGCGACATAGGCACCCCCTTTTTTGTGCCTTGTGTGACGTCCGGGCAAACCGCCGTGATGTAAGGGCAGTGATGTAAGCGTCATGCATGCTCCTATTGTTTGCCATGCTGATTGCGTAAAGTTTATAAACCATCGATCATGAGTGTGAATGGTAGTTCTTGTTTCCATATACAGCTGTGACATTCGCACTTTCCAGTTACCTCCAGTTCCAGCTGCAAAATAGCTAATGTATAACCCAAACGTCGCTATGCTTTATTGAAAGAGGATGGGCCGCCCCGCCTGGCAGATTGTATTGATGACGATGGATACGTAGACAACAGTTGCGATCTCGCCACTTCCACGCTGCATCAAAAGCAAAAATCCCAAAATTGTACGTGGCATTCCAAAGTCGGACGGAACAGTACCGGGCCAAACAATGTCCTGCCCAACAAATACGTCCAGTCAACAACCTAAAGCCACTGCCAAACCGGCCTTCCCGTCGTCCCCTTACATGCCGTTCTTAACCTCGCGACCTCCCAACCTGCCTAAAAGTGAGCACCTGCCCCGGCCGGCCCGTGAGCACGGCCCCAATTCAAAACTCCAAACCCTTCTAGCAGTGACATCACGTACCCTCAGCCATCTTGCCCTCCAGCTGCTGCACCGCCTTCAACATGCAATCCCTTCACGTGTGCCTCCAGTTCATCTAAGTCTCCATCATCGTCTTCCTCCTCGTCATCGTCGTCCATAACCTCCTCGTCATCGTCGTCCATAACCTCCTCGTCATCGTCGCCCTCGAATAACGCCTCCGCCTCACCTGCGCAGTGCCCGAAGAGTGTGTGACGCATTGTGACACGTCAACAATGAATTCCTAACCGCCTTGGGGTGAGGAACAGCTAATACTGTAACGCACGGAAACACGGGAACCCCTGGCAAAAACCAGGTCTCCATGACCCCAGAAGCGTTCAAACCATGACCAAGAGCTGGCTCGAATCCCCCTGCACTCACCATCGTCTAGGTTGAGGTGCGTGGAAGGACCCGTCCCTTGTGACCCGGACGGACCCGCGCCGCTCCCGGATGGGCCCGTGCACATGCCCTCCGCAGCTGCCTCCTCCTCCTCTGCGTGGCAACATTGAACAAACGAACACAAAAAGGAATTCAGATAGCACTAGACAATACATGAAAGCCCACAATCTTATCTCCGGTTTGCCGACACAAATTGTTGGGCTTCGGTGGCAAGAACATCATACGTCGCGTTGCGTCACAAGCATCCGCCAGCGCTATAATACCAAACGATGAGGCCGTAACGGTGTGTGTGCGTCAAAGCGTGTTCCTTGTGGCAATCCGTCCTCCCACAGCCCCTTTATATGTTATGCAGCAATGCGAGTACGGGGTTCATTAGGCCTCTTAAGAACGCGGGCTTACCGGGTGTCGGCCCCATCTCTGTGACAGCTTGTCGCGCTGCCTCCGCGGCCGCCTGGGCTCGCACAAGCATGTCCTTAATTGCGTTCTCCTCGTCCTCCTCTCGAGCGTAGTCGTCAGCTGCGGACGCATCGTCCGCGGCCACGAAGCCCTCCTGCACGTGCGCAGGCGATCAGGTGAAATAGCATACAAGCGGCAGCCGCGACCAAGCATGTCAACCGTGATGATATCCCCACCCGACGCAAGATATCAAGGTGGGCGGTGCCATAACCCGCCGAAGTGCTTAACGGGACTGACAAAGTCAGGACTCGATGCGGAGGCAACGGACCAAGGCAAGTACGCAGACCAACAGAAGAGGGGGAGTGCATGTGGAACAGCGACCAACCAAGTGACGAGCTTGGAGCCTTATCGACCGTTCCAGCCGCACCTGCATGAAGATTTCGCGGCCGTTGAGGATGCCTTTGCGGCGCCGCTCCTCCTCTTCCGCTGCTCTCTTGGCTGCCCTAGCATCACGTTTCGCACGGTGCCACGCGCGGAACGTCTGCGAGATGGAGCACCGAAGCATACAGCGAAAACAAGGCACCAAGATAGGCTGCCGTACCTAAGCAAAGGGAAGCTGCTCACGAGGCAAGGGTGCCAGCAGCCTACGAAACAGCAATCCAGCCAATAGCAACCGCAAACCTAAATACCCGCATATTGCAGTTCTTAACTAAGAGGAGGCAACATTCCACCAAGGATGACAGGTGTGAGAGCGCGCCGCTCAAAACTGTCGACGCATTCATGGTTTTCCGAAGGACAGCCTTTACTGATGTTTGGCGCCATCGAGCACCAGGATAGTGTACCAAGCATCGCAAAGCAACAAGCGCTGGTGTACGTGTCTCACTTTGTCCTACTTCTACCCATCAGAAACCAAGCTCGTGCGCGCCTTTGTCGAGGGGAAGATTATCTTGACGCCCACAACTGACAAGTTCCAAGGTTTCAATCCTCAGCTCCACCCCAGCCCTCAGAGGAAGCTGCCCACAGCCTACCTCTTCCGTCACTGGCGTCCGGGCCTCCACCTTTGCTCTCTCCTCCTCTATGCTCTCGGCGATGTCCTTGGCATTGCGAGCTTCCTGCATATAAACAGACAGCGGTTCAGCACATCGTGCGACATTGCATCAAACAACACGCTACCTGTCCTAATCTGCTCTACCTCTCATCCCACCGAAATCCGAAGCCCTCAGGACGGCCGCTCACCTCTTCCAACAACTCCTTCATTTGGCTCTTGAGCAGGTACCCCGCCGGTAGCGCGTGACGGTACTTGCAGTCATCGCCATTGGGGCACTTCCAGAACCTGCAGAACGAGACAGTCAGCCATACGAAATCAGTGCGGTTACGTTGCATGGGCAGCATCTGAATCTCGCCCGCCGACCCCGCAGCAGCACGGCATACACGCACGCTCACCAGCCGTAGAGCTTCCTCTCAACTGCGTCCAAGAAGAACTTGCAAATAATCTCAGTGGGCTTGTTCTCGTTGGCGTGCTTCTGCTTCACAGCCGCCTCAAGGGTGGCCTGGTCCCAGTCGTCCATGCCCTGTCAGGCCAAAACCCAGACAAAAATGACGCATACTGAGACAGACAGAACGCAGACAGTACATTACAACTGCAGCTTAAGACTTGAAATGTGGATTTTCACAATGAAGGACATCCATGGATGTGCTGGGAGCCATGAGTTAGGTAGAAAGGACAGGTGGTCACCGGTATCACTTACACTACTACGCCAAAGTACCATGCACATCGCCCCGCGCTGGGCATCTGCACTGGCCAAGTGTGGGTAAGCCGCCTCAGCAGCAGTGGCACACACACGCATGCCTAATCCTGAGGGGGCAGGTCATGCGGATCACCCAGCAAGCTCGCTACGGCCCATCAGAGGCCCTAACCCTAGCCCCCTATTAAGATCCTGTCCGGCCATCCCAACGGTGGCGCATCGGTCCATCCCAACAACGCACCCCATCAAGCACGCACCTCCTTGCCCTCTTGCTCGTCGTCGCCTGGCCCCTTGCCAACGTCACGCTGATCCGTGTACAGCGAGATCTTAGGCCCTTTGCGCTCCACTGACAGGTCATGACTAAACTTGCATTTATTGCCCTTAGTACACTGGTTGTGGCGAAAGAACTCGCACACAACCGACTTGGGATCGACACCTGTGTTGTGGCGAGGAGGGATAGGTCGGGATGGGGTGTACCAAGCAAGAGTTTGCGGCGTGGCGCCACAATACACAACACATGCGTCTTTGTTATTCAATGCTAAGATTGCTGCGCTACCTAAAATCCGGTGGGCGGAGGTGCCGAATGGAAAGGTCGCTGCGCAACACCAAAATGCGCCTTCATTTTCGCCGTTGCCCGACTTGCAGCAGCAATGGGGTGCCATCAGGGCGGTTACTTGCTTTCGAGGAACGCAACAGGAGAAGCGGCCAGACTTGCAACAGCAACGAGCCACCGCCCTGGACATGGCTTTAAAACCTGTTGTCGGTCCTGCTCGTTGCCGATGCTGTAATCCTGACTGCCGCTGCGATTGCGGTTGCTGCAGCTGCAATTGCGGCGTCCCACCACTGTGAACCCTTGAACTGCCCAACTGTCAGTCAATGGGAGGGTTCACAGGAAAGGGCGCAATGGCGGCCTCAAACCAAGGGAAGGTGGCTCCTGCCACGAAATGGACACGGCGCGAACCCAGATGGCTACTGCTCCTGCTACCGCTGCTGTTATGCTGCTGCTCCTGCCGTCAACCAGGGCTTAAGAACCCAGATGGAAGTAAGCTGTGATGACGTGTCCTACCAATCGTGCATCACCACGGGCCCCAAGTTGCTGCCACTTGTGCCCGTAACCCAACCCCAGCTCAATGTGCACGTCTTGGCCAGCTGCAGACCCAGAGTGCATGTATGGCGGCCGAGTAATACGGCCCGGTTAGGACAGCCCCTCTCTGCCGGGCAACAGCTGCTCACAGCCCGTTAGCGTCGCCAGTACCATCATCCACCCGCCAGGCTACGTCAGGACCTAGCCGTCCAGGTGGCGATGTGGCCAAAGACAACAATGCATTAACGTCTGTAATACAGCCCGCAGAAGCTCGACTGGGGTCAAAACTGGTACATCGAAACCATGCATATACATGTGCAGGGCTGCACGTTGCTGCTTTCCCGAACAAGCCCTCGCAGCAGCAAGTGCCTGCCCTGCTTCCGATGACTTTAAGCCTGCCCGCATTACAAGGGTAGATCGGCGTGTCAGCTGGATAGCAGCAGACACGCGGCCAGTGATCTGGTCAGCCGGTCAGACAGCCTCCTGGAAGGAGAGGCCAAGGCAGGCCACGGCCCCACCACACCCTGTAGAGGTGACAGCTGTTGTTCGTGGCATTCGTTCACAGGCCGACACCAAAACGCCGGTCCAGACCCATCCTGTCTACATGATGCTGCCAGGCTGGCTCGCGTTTTGCTTCCCAATGGCTGGCCGCCCCGCCAAGGCAACCTGGGAGGAGCTGTGCTACCACCCTTGATATGTTTCCAGCTGCTAACATTCATACGAAGACACACCATTGCTGTTCTATATCTGTCTCCGGTGCTGCACATTAATACTGCACAATACCAATGCGCAGCTGGGGTCGCTGCTGCGGATTCCGCCACTGCCATCGCTGTCGCAGCACAGCTCCCTGGTCCGCCAGAGCAGCTGCTGTGGAGACGCCGCCGTAAACCACCTTGCTGCTGTGGGCACCAACCCCATTATGAACGCGATGACTCGCCAACTGACTCGCGTGTCACTGAGGCAACAGGGCTCCCCGCTGTGCGTTATAACGCATACAACCTCCAACTCCCATTGTTGCCCCAACAGGCCACGCAGCCCCAACAGGCCATGTGCCAGTAAAACGTTTCGACTGCTTGCCAGAGGGTTTGGGCGCGATACGGGCCGGAGTATGAGTACATTGTGCAGCAATGCAGTGGCTTTCGGCCATCCGCCTAGTTCGGCCTGGCAGCTCTGACGTGTCGATTGCCCCATGCCGGGTATGCTACTGGTTGGCCGGCCGGGCGCGCATCCCTGCGCATAGCACAGGCCGGTCGTGCATAGGAGCACCGTCGCGGCTTGCCCTTCCCTCACCCGCCAACGCTTCTATTAATGCCTGCTGGCGGCCGAACCGCCAGAACAAGCATCCAGACTGTCTGACTGTTGCTGCTGCTGCTCTGCTTCCTGGACTGGGGTTATAGGCTTCAACGCCTGTTGCAGCGGCCGTCCCGACTCGACGCAGGCCGCCTCGACTCCACGCAAGACGGCACACAAACGAAGGCTAGGAAGGGACACGGGGCCACTGAAAACCATGCCACAAGGCAAGCTGCCTGTGAGCCCGTAAATGCAACGAAAGGTATGAAGCCGTACTCAAGCGTCTCGATGTGACCTCTAGCTTTGGGCGTTTGATGTCTCAAATTCCTTAACATTCCATAACCGGTCAACCACATGTTGAGTTCGTGGGCATAAGCCAGAAAGGTGTTGGCCAGCAACGCTGGCTGTTGTCACACCGACCCTCCCGTCCCGTGCTGGGGGCACGCCACCGGCGCTTACCCTCGGGTACTTTGGGCTGCTTAATCGCCACGGCAAAGATGTTCCCCACCTCGTCTTCAGGCTTCTTCTCTTTCTGTGGAAAGAATACAGATGAACTGTGGATTTCGCACGGGAAAAATGAACAGGAGGTCCACGCCATCTTACCTTCTTAACCTCCACCGGCTTATAATTCGCCAGGCCCTGCGTGGCATTCTGTTTGACATTCTGTACAAACCTGCATAATAACATGGCGACGTGAATTCTGCACCGCTTGCTTGCTGCTGCAAAGACTACGATCGCCTACTTCTGAACCTTCGCCGACTTGTTCTTGTTCTTAAGGCCAAACGTCTTGTCTTCGGCAGCCTTATGCGGTGGAAGAAAAGCAAAAAAACACATTGAGAGGAAAGGTTCCTTGCGGCGCCGCGCCGACGGGTAGAGCACGCCCAAAATTTGGCTCACTTTTTGCTTGGCAGCTGCCTTTGCCTTATCCACGGCTCCTCCCTTCTTTGGCGGCATTTCTTGGGCGCGACCGGCAAGATGGGAACAGAATGAAACTTTGTGCCTGCCCCTCGGCAGGCAGGTGGGGAATTAATAAAGACGCGCCCTATGCCAGGTAGTTTTCACATAATAGATTGCTATTGGTTGGACGCGATGTCCCATGAAGCAGTTGGCCGAGCATCAAGACGATGTGTAACAAAGCAAAGGCGTAACCCGGGATGCTCAGTTGGGCCTTGCGTCGTTACATTGCCCCCCCTTTAGCAATGGACGTCCGCGGCCATTATATCGAGCATTGGAGCCATCCCACCTCACGCATTGTGCGCTGGTTTATCCTTTACCCATGATATCGCATTCTGCGATACCTGCTTGTTGTCAGAATCGAACCGCCGACCCGAAGATTTCATCGGAAGTCGTGCGGCCCCGTCTCGATACCATTGTAACAAAGCAAAGGCGTAACCCGGGATGCTCAGTTGGGCCTTGCGTCGTTACACGATGGCCCTCACAAGGATGTATAGGCATGTAAAAGTTTTGGTGATACTTGATTATATCTACATTTCAAATCCATCACAATTCAGCCAAAGATTACCTTGTGCTTCTGATACTGTCTTTTGTTTAACCAGCGAAAGACACTGTAGTGGCATTTTTTCAGCGTTTATCCTAAAGGGAAGGGTTATTAAATGAACGTCCAAGGCAGAAATTCGCAGCAGAGTTGGCGGCACGCACCGTTCTCGGGACGCTCTCTGCCGGCTCGGCTCGCTCGCCTTGCTCGGCCGTCCGTGCGTGCCAATCAGAACTCGGGTGCGTTCTGAAAAAGGCAAATGCGACTTCTGTCATGTCTAGGCAGAGATCTTAGCAAATGTAAAAGCGTCGTCGTCGCCGAACCTCCAACCTTGTCCAATGGCTTCGCCTACGTTTCCTTTTGCGCTATCCATGCCAACTTATGCTACATCTGTCGCTATCCTGGCAGGCAAGATCTGGGGCGCTGAGGATGAGAATGCAGCTCAGGTTCGGCGACTCATCAACCGTGACCGCAAAGAGTTCTTGGGCAACGCCCAGGGTGATATCCTGGAGAAATACAAAGTAGAGCTAGGGGATGCCTCATCAGAACCCAGCTCGAGCCAGGGTCCAACAATTGGAGCGAGTAAGCATTTGGGGTATGGACGGACGCGGTTCTGCGCACATCTTCCTTATCATCCCCCACCCTTATGTTGACTTTGGTTGTGCTGTTCCCGTGCAGATACGCCGAACCCTTTCAGCAGCGGTGCTGGTGCGAGCAATCCCTTTGGGTCGGCACCCTCGGCGTCGCCATTTGGTAGCAGCCCCAGCAGCACTGCCAGTCCGTTTAAGTCAACAATTGAGCCAGCCGGCTTGCGGCCAGATATGTCTCCTGACCCCTTCGTGAAAGAAACGCCCGTTAGCTTCCTCAAAAGCATAACGCTTACGCAAGTGGTGAGCCATCGGGGGCAACGCTGCGTCGCTCCGTGGGTAGCAATTCCATATGGCAGGGGGCACCTTGACACGCACCCGTGTTGGAGGCGTGTGACCACCATGCAGGCTGGGCATTTACTGCTTCATCCAGTAGACTCCGGCTTTTTTGGTAGGACTGGCTCGTACAGTAAGAGGGGCCATGATCCAGTGTTATCGGCTCAACGTGTGAACGGGTAATTGGCATGGCCTCCTGATTTGCACCCTAATGACTGCTTTTCTTTGTATGCGTCCCTGTGTATCAAACCATCACCGTTTTTATTGTTTCCCACTCTCCCGACTGTTTGAGTCGTTCGGCAAATTATAAACATATCGATGTCTGAAGGTGATGCCATGATTGACTCCCTACACCTGCCTTACGCCGATCCTCTACAGGTCTTATTCTGCTCCTTCTCCCTGATCATCTTGCTCATGCTGGCCACCTTCAATGTTGTTCTCAACACCGGTGCCATCCGTCTGGCTGGCATTGATTGATCAACTGTCTGGTTGTCAGGAGATGAACGCGCTGACGTTGCGTTTTGACAGTGGTGGGATGCCTACGCTGCGGTAGCCGTGCGGAGCCAATTTTTGGAACGATTTTGGGGGCGAGCTTGGGCATGCTGTACAACGGCATGTTAGCAATGATTGAGCGGAGAGGAGGGATTGAGAATGGTCGTGTTCTATGCGATTTACGCATCCTGTGTTCTTGAGTCATAGTTGTTGGTCTTGTATGCATGTGCTATGGCCGCTAGGGTTGAGATGGTTTAGGGCTGGACAGGCAAACACGAGCGGCTTCTGTAGAGGTTGCGGTTGTGGTTGCTGCACTTGTGGACATTAGACATATTTGTTTCTCATGTTAGACTCCGGATTGAAGCCATATCGTGTCGCTGCGCTGCAGCGGAATTCTAGATTCTTCTTCTATACATTGTATAAGTCATGCTCGGAGTCTTATGTAATGAATAAATGGAATGTTAACTGCGCGGCTGCGGCCTGGACGAAACTGGTGAAACTATAGATAACGAGCAAGGTCGTTGCATAACCGTTGTCTTGGCGAAGTATCGGTTGCTAACCGTATAGCGATAGCAAGGTACCTTTGGAGCTAAGTAAAACGAACTTCTAGTACTTCCCAATGCTCTATCATAGGCTAACGGTGCTACTGTTAGAGGACAGCTGCAAGGGAAGCTCGTGAGTTCGTCGATCCATGTGCCTCATGCTAGCCCTGAAACTTGGTTTAACATAATCTTATGGAAGACGGCCAAAAATGTTTGTCATCGTGGATTTATGAAACGCACGTTGACAGAGCACCAGCATTGGCCGACTAACAAAACAGGCAGGACACAGGGCACGACGTCGAGGCTTACACGATGTCGGTAAGAGTATTATGCTTCAAAGGAAAAATACACAGGCAAAGGTAACGATCAGAAGTGGTGTCAACTTGCCAGGGTCGATTCCAGACGCACACTGTTGCGTCAGAAGGCGTTGAGCTGGATGACAACTACCAAAAGATGGTCGCTGATAGTAAGTAGTTGCAGATGTCCACATTGCTGATTGGCACTTCCAGACCACCGGTGAACTGTAACTGTCCTTCACTTGTCCCCACAGTTGAGGAGCAGACGCAGAGAAGTGGCTGGCTGTTTGGACGGGGCGGTAAGCGGTAGTAGTCTAGTGGGGTGGCGGGAAAGAGGAAACGATAACCGGACCCTCAACGAGGCTTCAGTGCGTGCGCACACGCACTTTCCCCCCCCCCCCGCAAGGCGCAAACCATCTCAAAACAGAACCCATCCAAAAACATGCTTTACCTCAGCCGCCCAACCTCAAGTGCGACCCTTCTGAATACTTGGCACAGCTCGATACCGCAACCGCAAACGGGGATCACAATCCTTGATAAAAATAGGATACCCGTCATTATGTAGTTTAGCACGAAGCTGCTAGCTGCTGTGGTTAAGGACGCCCACGGCCACCCGTGTTTATCCCCGCAAGAACCCAGCGGCAAGAACCCAAGGGGAGGCTCTTCGTAAGGCCCAACCCTGACAAGTGTCTAGAGCTCCATGAGTAAGAACTCTCTTTCCCCACCTCCCGCGACAATGGCCAGTTGCGTTTTTGCAATTTCGCATCATACAAACTTCATCCTCTCTTTCCGCCGGCTTTGTTGCAGCATTCGACAAAGGCGACTTGCAGTACCTACGGGATTTTAACAACTCCCTGCGGTACAAGGTAAGAGGCCCGTGTGTGTGTATATATGTGCGTGTATGTGTGTTGCGCTTGCGCGGGGTGTGAACTGCGATGTGTTTAGTGATGCCCTCCTCATCCACCAGCCTGTGCACCTTTTACGGGGCCGTCTTTGGCAGACGGCGACATGCAGGACAGAACAGAACATGACATGACGAGACAGGAACGTGAGCGCGCGGTGCCGCCTTGAAGGGCGGTGTGCCGGATACCGTCCTGCAACAGAGTCATACTCAGCCTCGGTCGCCGCAACTAGCCGGCCCCTGGCCTCCTGCTCCCTGGCCCAATGCATCCGAGTCACGTCTGGGCCCGCTCGTGTTGTCTTTAGCGCGTGTTTTTTCTTTGGGTTTGCCGTTCCTTAGCTGCCATGTTACGGCGCGCAGGAAGTGGAGATAGAGGACAAGGAGAAGGAGCTGTGGGAGCGAGAACGCGCCCGGGTCGAAGCAGAGGCGGCGGCAGCGGCAGCACAGCAGGCAGCGGCGCTGACACGACGGAGCAGCGGCGGCAGCGCGGCAGCGAGTTTGCGGGGCCCGCCAGGTGTCTCGACCCGGTGCGATTGGTCGGGGGGACAGGGCGAAGAGAGGTTCGATCTTTTTGGGGGAGCTAGCAAGGACATTGGAAGGAGGAAGCTACGGTGTGAATCATCATAACAAGGATGAGGGAGTACGACGCTGGCGGGTTTTGTCTTTTACATCGTGGTGCACTGGCGGGTGCGGTAATGAGCTAAACTCTATTTGCGTGTTTACAGCCGTACATAGAAACACGTACAACAGAGCAGGAGACAGGGGGCTGCTGCCTTCTACCAGGCCGGCTGGGTTATGGCTCGTATTGGCCGTACATGGGTGTCGACGGTACAGTGAGCGCCGTCATGTGCAGGAGCGCGTGCTGTTTTTGCAACTGCTACTGCTGCTGCTGCATTCTGGACCCTGGAAACCGCCTTCTTGCTGCTGTTCTCGTACCTGCCATACGGAATCAGGTGCCATTGCTCGCAACATCTACATTTAGGCTCGTTCCTGAAGTTTTGTTGACGTGTTTTCCCTCCGTAACCCCCCGGGGTGAAGCAAGGGCACGGAGTACGTTAATTGTCTCTCATTGTGTCCATGTCCCACTTCCGTAAGTTCCCCCTCTGTCGTACTCTCGACGCTCTACTCCCTGCAGGCCTGCGCCCCTGCTGCTGCCGGTCAAGGTCAAGCCGGTGGGGTCGAAGCAGCAACAGACGCCCCGGGTACGGCAGTTCAGCGATTAGAGGCAAACACCGTAGGAGTTTCTTTAGCAGGTGTAGCGATGTACTCCCAAATATGAACTGCGGTAAGCCGCACGTTTTTGGGGGGGAGAGAACACCCCTGCGCCTACGGCCGCGAGGTTTCCTCTCCCCGCCCTCTTGCCCTGGCAGCAGCTTCACTCGTTCGTGGTTCGTCTTTCCCCGCCCTCTCACCACTTTAGTCAGTGAGAAGTGCACCCCTAAGGTCGCCCCTAAGGTGGCTTAGAGCCGAACAACTGTCGCCTTTCGCCTCCTCCTGTCTCCCCCCTTCTGCTGTTGCATCTCTTCACTTTTCCAGCCTTCATGCCCAAGTCGGCAGCTTTCGTATATATCCTAACAACCCTGCCCTCCTCCCCGCTCCCTCTTCCCCGCGTAGTCCGCAGCCGCCTCCCCCTCCGCTGCGGGTGAGATTCCCAGCAGCAAGCGCGCACGCACGGACGCCTCCAGCGGCGCCGCCGCCCTCGCCTCTCCGCTCACGACTACCGCGGCTCTGTCAACCACCGCCGCCACCGCCACCGCTTCTACGCCAGCGGGCACACTCCGCTTTGCCAAATCGGAGCCGCCCCCAGTGAAGCCATCCGCGAACATCTCGACAACGGCGGGGCCGAGTGGTGCAGCACAGCCAGCTGCAGCCACTGCTGTGTCCCAAACCCCTGGAAGCCACGGTGGTGATCAAGGACGGTCGCTAAGCGCACCACGTGCGTGGTCAGCACAGGATGCGCCGGGTAGCCGCGGCAGCGGGGATGGCGGCGCCGGTACTGCAGCCGGTCTGACAACTCTACTTGGCGGTTATGGCAGCGACGATGATGATGACGACGGCGACGATGATGGTGGTGATAAGAATGGTGGTAAGGACGGAAAGGAGCACGATGGCGGACGTGGGTCCGGATCAGGAGGCAGCTGCATGAGCTACCGGCCTGGCCGTAGCGGAGGTGAAGGGGATGATGGGAGGAGCCCGGCTGGCGTCTCGGGAGTCCCAGCCGAAGGTAATGGTGGTAAGCGCGGCGAGGACGGTGCTGCGGAGGCGAGTCTGGGCGGCAGTGCCAAAGAGGCCGTGGTGGGTACCACTGCCGTTGCTGCGGAGGAAAGGGAAGGCGGATGCAGGGACAGGGGAGGCAGCGGTGGTTTCAAGTTGCTTCCGCCACCTGTTGGGCTGCTCAGTCCAGAGGAGCTGTTGGGCGACCCACGGGTCATAGCGGAGGGCCTCCTGGCTACGCGGCGCCAACCGCAGAACGTGGAGGGCGGCGACGCCTGGGACAGCGAAGAGGCGTCGGAGTTGGAGTCCTCGGATGTCGAGGCCTAGTAGTTTCCCTTCATGAAGGTGTATGTGTGGTGTAGGTAGATTTCTTTGAGAACGTGTGTACGTTTGTGTGTGAGCAAATGTTGCACCTAGCTTCTTAAGGTGTTTTGCCATGCGTAATGAACATATCAGCTCCAGCCTCGGACTGCTATTATCGCAACAGCATTACGGGCTCACGGTTCTAGGACCATGTTATCGCGTGACCTGGCTGTCCATTTTTTCAACAACTGGAGGCCGCACCGCAGAGAGAGAGAGAGAGAGCGCAGAGCACACTTGCAGGAGCCTTCCTGATCATCTCAGATCCCACAAGAACCTATGCACCCCCTATCCTGCTCCTTCCCGACGATCATCACAGCAAAGAAGCCACCACGGATGATACATCGCTGAATATTATCCTTACTACATACCAAGTCGTGCAAACGCCGACAGGTAACTCCTTGCCCCGGATTTGGCATGCAGAAGATGAGGCAGGGTTCTCACTCCGCATACGACATCATGTTCAAACCCGTACAATATCACGACATTCAAGTCAACACGTGACGTTAGACAGTCCATTTCCCGAAGTCGCTAGCCGTAACAGCCGTACAGCCATATCTGACGTACTTCTCCCTGTTCAACTCAAAATATGACCTGCGTTGTGGCAGTCTATCCAAGTCCACCAACGTGAAGCGTGTGGATTTTTCTACTACACAGGTTGACCTGTGCCTTCGTGATTTTCCCTAGTAATTCCTGACCGCACCGTTCGCTTTTACTGCAGCCATCACACGCTGCGCGAGCACGAGCATCTCTTCCGCACCGCCTTCTACGCACCCACCCTTTCATGCACAGCTGCTATCGCAGCTCACGGCGAGTATCTCAGCGCTGAAGAGCACTGTGCAAGCAAAGTCGCGACGCGTGCACTTCCAAACGAAATACTCTGTACTCTCCCATCCATGTATCGCGATCCACAACGAGGTAAAACGCCATCCTGCGGCATCGACCGGAATGAACTCGTTACGGTTCGTCATCGACCTCTTGCACCGTGCCCTCTGTCCACCCGGCATGTAAACCCAACGAAGGCGCGACTGCACGCCCGCTGACAGCGGATGCAAAGGGCGGGCTGCGTCATCTATGTTGTACCACAGAGCCGCCTTTGTACGGCACCGCCGCCTCAACTCGTAACAACGTGAATTCGGAGCAATATAGCGAAAGCCTGTTGATCTCCTGGCTGACAATGCCGTAGCCCAGGTTAGCTAGGTGCGAGAAAAAGAGTGCTAAGTCCATGACACCAAACTCGCCACGGCCCCAATGCGATCGCAACTCCGATTGCGAGTGGTTCAGGTGCTTCTCGCGCAAATGAACTTCTACGGCAATCTGCTCGGGCAGGGATCGCGAGTGCTCACGCCACTCCCCGAACAGCGGAAACTCAAATGACTCGACGTCGATTTTCAGTACGGGAATCTCCTGCAACCCTAGCGCTGAAACGAACTGGCGGTACGTCACAAATGTCGTATCAACATTAGCCAAGGCGGATGACCCCACACACAGTCTGTGGAAGGTATGGCGGTCTGAGAGCTTCTTGCCCTCCACCGTGCAATCTAGCGTGACCACCTGGCAGCGCGTCTCATTCAAGATGGCCTCTTCGAACCTGTCGTACATTTGTACGTTTGGCAAAATGTAGCGGCAACAGCAGCATGCGAACAAGTGGCAGCACCTTTAGCTTAACTTCGTGATACGTATCAGTGATAGCCTCCATGTTGTGCACTACTCGCGAGATTAGAAATGAGGGGATCGGACAATGTGCGGAATCAATCCACGTCCGGGTTGCAGCGTTGCACGGAATGAGAGGAGTGCATAATGAGAGTGGCTATGTACATGAAGTTGCTGCACAACAGTGGAAATAAGGATATCTCACATCACGGCCGAGAGAAGCCCTACACGACTTCGCATGTGCAGCAGCGGGCAATCCTACCCGAAGGCCATGTTGCTGCCCATGGAAATGACGGTGCACGGTTCCTTTAGGGCAGCGGGCTCACAGAGCCATTTGCCGCCATCACCCTCGGGACCCACACGGCGCAGCGGCCGCCCTGGCGGGCAGCTGATGAAGGGCTGGAAGAAGCGGAAGCGGTCCCATTTATGCTTCGTCTTGTCCAGGTTATTCTTCGACACGATATACTGGCAGTGAGGGGAAGAGTATGTAAATAGGGGGGAAATCCAGTTCGGTGTGAGTTTTGGGAGATGGAGGTTTTAGATCTGAACAGCGCTTGTGGTCCATCACGAGGACACCAACCCCGATCCAAACCACGGAACGTGGAAAGCATGGAGGCCTTCCCCAGGGGACAACTGCCTGTTATCAAAATGTGTTTTTAGGTGCGTGCCTGCCTTTCGATAGCTCACGGGAGGTGCCTCTGTACGGCCTAAGCAGAGGAATGGCCCTCCATGCGGTACGTGGTACTCTGATAGCACGACATGGAGGTGGCCCGATTGCAGCAGGGCGGGTCCCATCTCACGATGGACATTCTACTGGGAGTGCAGGCATACCTCCCAAAGCCCTTGGTGCGTGCAGTCGACAAGCATCGGGCGCTCACCAGCTGGTTGTGTTTGAACCTTTGACACCTCCAAGCGCTTTCAGGCTGGGATCGAACCGCCCCCATTCAGACCCACGGAACTCCCACTGTAACGACGCAAGGCCCAACTGAGCATCCCGGGTTACGCCTTTGCTTTGCTACAATGGTATCGAGACGGGGCCGCACGACTTCCGATGAAATCTTCGGGTCGGTGGTTCGATTCTGACAACAAGCAGATATCGCAGAAAGCGATATCATGGGTAATGGATAAACCAGCGCACAATGCGTGAGGTGGGATGGCTCCAATGCTCGATATAATGGCCGCGGACGTCCATTGCTAAAGGGGGGGCAATGTAACGACGCAAGGCCCAACTGAGCATCCCGGGTTACGCCTTTGCTTTGTTACACCCACTGCTACAAAGTAGCCGACGATCTAGGTCTAGTCGGCCAGTATGTGGTGAGCTTCCAGCACTGCTGTCGGGGGAAAGCTCTGTAAATTTGAAGTTCCCCCGATGATCGCATTCTACCCAGCCTTGGATTGTCTTACTTAATCTCAGGCGGTTACGATTGGGTTACCAACCACCGGGGTTATGATTGCATCGGTAAGTGGCATTTACCTGTTCTGTGGACATAAATAACTGCGAGCGCCAAGCGGACAGGTTACGAGTCGCTTCCAACGCCCATTCACCGTCGTGAAGAGGGACGCGCAGGGGAGTCTGCGTTCCAAACCTAAGAATATTCTCTGATGCAGTAGACACGGCCGCGTGAAATACGGAGCACAGCAATAAGTGGAACAAGGACACGATGCCAGCATTCATGATGACTTCGTGCCCAGGAAAGTACCAGCGATCAATTTTCTTGTAGCAGCACTCCTGATGTGGCTGTTAAAATGTCGTTATCAAAAGGTTGTACCAGCTCACTCATCTCATTTGGTGCTACTGTATCCAAGCACGTAATCTTGGTGATGTTATTCCCACTCCACTTGCTCAGACTAAGGCATTCAGTAAATAAAATAGGGAGGTGGAAGAGATTGCTTACGCCGCAGTTAGGAAGATTTAGTATCACAAGGTTTTGCTGGGTGTCCGGTCGCTTATGCCGCTTTCCAGAAACTGAAGTAGCCGATTTCCAAACTCAGCTTAGGCTTACAATGCCAATAATTTGGTCCGCTTAAACAGTTACGCTAGCGATCAATAACATGATACGCCGTACACCTGAGTACACCGAAGTCGCGACAACATCAAACACGAGGCCCGAATGTCTGTCAACCAACGGTACAGCACTGTGGGACAAGTCGGGTGTCGGCTTCCTCGAAGCCGGAAAAAGGGCGGGCCCCCCCTGCATCCGTACAGGCCGGTAGCTAGCGCGGCACGTGTGACAATTGATGGGTAGTGTCAACGCGGTGGGAGATGTGCTTTGTTGGAGCAGTGCTGATGGTGTGAGAGCTAAGCTTGCACCGGCGGAATCGTCAGCACCGCCTGCGGGCTCGACGCGAATCGCATCCATCCTGGGTGCATGCAGCATGGACAGTGCGGCAGACCGCAAGTCGGAATGCCCGTGCGGGGAAATGGTAACGAAAGCTGGGTGAATTTCGGTGCTGTCTGTGATGTTTATCCCCGAAGCGCCAGCGGCCTCAGCAATCCGCCCCACAGCCGCGGGCTTCATCGGGGCACACCGCAAGTCTCCGGAGGCCCCGAGCATTGGCTAAAGTAAATACAAATGAGCAGCTTGCGTATTTCATAGAGAAATGTAAGCAAATTTGTCGGCCTGCTGGTGGCAAGTCGGAATGCCCGTGCGGGCAAATGGTAACACAAGCTGGGTGTTCAAGTTATCATACGCTGTCATCTCGGAAAGCAATGATGAGATACACGGCACCTTTTTGAGATGAAATTTAGCCCGAGAGGCGTTGATGTGACTATGAGCTCGGTCAATGGAGGCAGCCAAAGTTGTTTGTGCTCATACGATCTTTGTTAGCTACATGCGAGATACCTTGCAATAGAGAATGCTATATAGTACCGATAACGCGTTTCAGCCGGGTGAAATATTATGTTTGGTCCGTTACACACTCAAGGCCTGGGAGTTCGAGTTATCATACGCCGTCATCTAAAAATTCAAATATGAGATACGCGGTACCGTTTGAGATTAAATTTAGCCCGAGAGGCATTGATGTGACTTTGGCCTCGGTCAATTGAGGCAGCCAAAGTTGTTTGTGCTCATACGATTTTTGTTGGCTACAGGCGAGATACCTTGCGATAGAGAATGATAAATAGTACCTACAACGCGTTTCAGCCGGGCGAGATATTATGTTTGGTCCGTTACACACGCACACACGCACACACACACACACGGACATGGGCAATCCTACAGGTCGGGGCCCCCCTGGGCGCTTCGCGCTGGGGCCCCGCCCAAAAATGCGAAGGGCATGTTGCGGTATGTCGCAGGTACTACTAGTAGATTTTTACCTGAGGATGCCTTACACTTCGCCGGGTGTGACCGTGTTCGGGGTGTCGGATCTCCCGCCCAAGACCTTCGACGCTCTTAGGAGAGCCTGCTCTGAAAACGAGCAGACTCTGGATAGTGTTGCATAGGTCGTGCGTAGAGCTGGAAGTAGCAGGTCGGGACGGGGCACTTAAGCTACTGGCCGACCTTAAGGTAATGTAAGCTTACATTGCCGCCCGTTGGCTGGTCCGCGAGTTTTAGGTCTTGGGTCCGGAGCGGCGGTAAGTGCCTGGACCTTTTGATAGGAATATTTATTGGCTTCACTGGCGGCTTCTCGCTGGCGGCGGTCCCCAATTTGCTCTGCCTATGTACGCCTCTTCGTCCTCCTCCTTGCATCTAGGCTGCAGCTGTGTGCCTTATCCTTAGGTCTAGGTTTCTACACAAGGCATGTTTTGGTGCGTCAATGTTGATAATTGGGCATTCACAAGTGATTGGTGAAGACATGTATGTTTGCGTGTGTGTAGACAGGCGAGACAGGTGCAGGTGAATGTAAACATGGGTTACCCTGTCTGTTACCCATCAGTAGTGTATTACCCCGACCCCTTGGTTACCCCTCGGTAAGGGGTTACCCCTACCCCGGGGTTAGGTTACCCACCTCCCTTCGTACATAGCCACATGGGTAACCCCTAACCCTACACCCTGGGTTACGCTTAAGGGGGGGGTTACCCCCCGTTTTATGCCATAGGGCTGCCCCCTGGGGACATGGTACTTGCCCCTTCGTGCTCTGTTTGCCTCCAAAGCCCAGCAACATAAACGGAACTGCATATGAAGGACGCTATGAAATGGGAACCTGAACGCCTGGCAAGGATGCTGGAACGTATATGGTCCCACCGCACCTCTATCATTCCCTTTGGTCGTCAGTATCCTTTATCAGTTGCTTTGTCTGAAGTACGAGGTAGGATGGTGCTTATAGGTGATCTGGCAGCCCTGAGCCCTCGGCTCGTATTTGGGCGGTTTGCAGGTACGGGGAACACACACACACATATGGCGGCGGGAAGCCGCATTTTCAGTTGCTTGTAACAGGAAGTGCAGACCACGTTCCGAGCTTAAGTAACCGTATAGCGTAAGGCACGGAGCAGCTCGCTTTATAGCAGAGTGATTGCTTTGATGTCTTTTGGGTGCGGTTAAGTTCTTTAGATGCCCTAGGCCGACCTAAGAAGCGTGGTTGGAACACAGTTGGACCTTACCACCATTTTTAACGAGTGTAGAGGACAATTTGCTTTGCATGGATCTGCTCACAGACGAAGGTGATCGGTAATTCCAACCCTGGCTGTTTTTTCAGGCACAGCCTGGTAGGAAGGTGGTCTCGTGTGTATTTGGCCGCATTTCTTCACTTCGACACAACCCTAGTACGCCCGGTATTTGTAGGAATGCGTTTGTCATTCACAGGAGAGCCATATTGGCAAAATCCCCCTCGTTGCATCCGTGCAAGCCCAGTCGTAGTCGGAGCCGAGCTTGCTGAGGTGTCGTACATGCCGGTACGGACCACTCCTTCTTCCTTTCCAGGCCTGTGTCTATTACCGCGACAGGCGACGTGCCCTTTGGCTCGGTTTCTTTGCACTACGGTTTAGAAATCCAGCCCCCCCCTCTCTCTCCCTCCCTCTCTCTCTCCCCTCTCTCTCTACTAGATATATACCTATCTATCTATCTATCTATCTACCTATCTACCTTGGTATACCTTCCGCTCTGGTACCGCCCCCTCCGGAACCCCCGACCCCCCTAAATAAGCAACACCCACCCACCCCGGTGTTGCCCTCGACCAGCGCCTCGTAAGTCGCATGCTGTTCCCAGTACTGCTGAATTTGGGGCTCCCGAATGGGGCTGTTGGCGCGGAGGCTGAACTCAGTGGTGGGCAGCCGTACGGTGGAGCTGTACGGCCCGGACACTACGGTACGACACGAACGGGCGGGTTGGGGGTGGCGTTAGGAGGGAGTGCGGGGCAATGAATGCGAGGGGGTGACAGGTAAGGTTGTGAAGGGGGGGTTGGGGGGTAGATGAGGGGGGAAGGGGGGAAAGACGAACCACACACGATTGAAGCTGCTGCCAAGAGAGGGCAAGAGAGGGGAAGGGGGGAGCGCGTGACTTATATGGTCGTGGTGGCGGTGGTGGTGGTGTTCGTGAAGGCATCCATGGTCACGTGTCATGATGTGGTCGTGATTGTACGGCCATGGTGGCATGGTCGTGAAGCCCCCCCCCCCCGTGTGTTTCAATGCGCAGGAGAGGGGGAGATCCCCTGGTGCTAAATGCTATGCAAACTGTACCAAAAATCTTCACCTCCAATCCAGGCCCCTCCCCCGGTGCTCGTCGTCCTTTCTCAGGACGAGCTTTGCCCACACAATGTATCCACCCTCTCACCGCCAACGGCGTTGGCGTGGTAGCGTTGGCGTGGTAGCCCGCTATAATAATCACCAAGCATCATACCGAAGGGCTCCTAACACCTTAAGCTTAAGAGGGCAAGATTACTACAGTTAACACTGGTAATGTAGTAGGAGATGCTTGGATGACCTCAAATGGTGTACTAGATACAGTAGCTTTTAACATCCCCCCCCAACAACGAAATACAAAGCATAACATCCGTCCGATGTGATCCATCTCCATCTTCAGAATAACACAAGGTCCTACCTTGGTGCCTTCCCGAGTACTGCTGCTGCGTACAGAAGCCAATGCCTTAGGACCGTTCATGCCGTGTAACCCAGAAATATAAGACCCTGCCTCAGATGGAGGCGACTGCCAATTCCCGTCGTCGAAGTGATTAGGCCGCACACACATGATTGAGTGATAGTAATTATAGATCGTTTCACGGATGGCATTGTTGTGCTGAAGCATGTAAGCACAGTAACTATGATGGCCCGTGAACTGTAGATGTCCTCACACGCACTCAGCATTCTATTAGCCACCATATCCTTGCCCAGCCCCTGCATCTCACACGACAAGCAGTCCTAGGCTAACTAAGGCAAGCTTATTAGGTACTGTGCCATCCCGTATATACGGGATCCATGCCGCCGTACGGCACTGATGCCTCAACCCGTACCAATGTGAATTCGGAGCACGATACACATAATTTGTTCATCTCCTGGCTGACAATGCCGTAGCCTAGGTTAGCTAGGTGCGAGAAAAAGAGTGCTAAGTCCATGACACCAAACTCGCCACGGCCCCAATGCGATCGCAACTCCAATTCCGAGTGGTTCAGGCGCCTCTCGTGCAAATGAACTTCTACGGCAATCTGCTCGGGCAGGGATCGCGAGTGCTCACGCCACTCCCCGAACAGCGGAAACTCAAATGACTCGACGTCGATCTTCAGTACGGGAATCTCCTGCAACCCTAGCGCTGAAACGAACTGGCGGTACGTCACAAATGTCGTATCAACATTAGCCAGGGCGGATGACCCCACACACAGTCTGTGGAAGGTATGGCGGTCTGAGAGCTTCTTGCCCTCCACCGTGCAATCTAGCGTGACAACCTGGCAGGGCGTCTCATTCAAGATGGCCTCTTCGAACCTGTCGTACATTCGTACGATTGGCGATGTAGCGGCAACAGCAGCATGCGAGCAAGTGACAGCACCTTTAGCTTAACTTCATGATACGTATCAGTGATAGCCTCCATGTTGTGCTCTACTCGCGAGATTAGAAATGAGGGGATCGGACAATGTGCGTGATGGGGAATCAATCCACGTCCGGGTTGCAGCGTTGCACGGAATGAGAGGAGTGCATAATGAGAGTGGCTATGTACACGAAGTTGCTGCACAACGGTGGAAATAAGGATATCTCACATCACGGCCGAGAGAAGCCCTACACGACTTCGCATGTGCAGCAGCGGGCAATCCTACCCGAAGGCCATGTTGCTGCCCATGGAAACGACGGTGCACGGTTCCTTTAGGACAGCGGGCTCACAGAGCCATTTGCCGCCATCACCCTCCGGGCCCACACGGCGCAGCGGCCGCCCTGGCGGGCAGCTGATGAAGGGCTGGAACAAGTGGAAGCGGTCCCACTTATGCTTCGTCTTGTCCAGGTTATTCTTCGACACGATATACTGGCAGTGAGGGGAGAGTATGTAAAAAGGGAGGAAATCCAGTTCGGTGTGAGTTTTGGGAGATGGAGGTTTTAGATCTGAACAGCGCTTTTGGTCCATCACGAGGACACCAACCCCGATCCAAACCACGGAACGTGGAAAGCATGGAGGCCTTCCCCAGGGGACAACTGCCTGTTGTCAAAATGTGTTTTTAGGTGCGTGCCTCCCTTTCGATAGCTCACGGGAGGTGCCACTGTACGGCCTAAACAGAGGAATGGCCCTCCGTGCAGTACGTGGTACTCTGATAGCACGACAAGGACATCCTACTGGGAGTGCGGGCATGCCTCCCAAAGCCCTTGGTGCGTGCAGTCGACAAGCATCGGGCGCTCACCAGCTGGTTGTGTTTGAACGTTTGACACCACCAAGCGCTTTCAGGCTGGGAGCGATCCGACCCCATTCAGACCCACGGAACTCCCACTGCTACAAAGTCGGCCAGTATGTGGTGAGCTTCCAGCACTACTGTTGATCGCATTCTACCCAGCCTTGGATTGTCTTACTTAATCTCAGGCGGTTACGATTGGGTTACCAACCACCGGGGTTATGATTGCATCGGTAAGTGGCATTTACCTGTTCTGTGGACATAAATAACTGCGAGCGCCAAGCGGACAGGTTACGAGTCGCTTCCAACGCCCATTCACCGTCGTGAAGAGGGACGCGCAGGGGAGTTTGCGTTCCGAACCTAAGGATATTTTCTGATGCAGTAGACACGGCCGCGTGAAATGCGGAGCACAGCAATAAGTGGAACAAGGACACGATGCCAGCATTCATGATGACTTCGTCCCCAGCTGCAGGAAAGCACCAGCAATTATTTTTTTTGTAGCAGCACTCCTGATGTGGCTGTTAAAATGTCGTTATCAAAAGGTTGTACCAGCTCACTCATCTCATTCGGTGCTACTGTTTGCCCCCGCCTTTATTACCTTCGATCACCTTCGCAACTCATTTTTATCCGTGTCGTACAAACACCCTATAGGGAGAGTTTCGCTAGTCATTTCCAAGCTGCCAAATACGTGATCTCTTTCGTTTAGGGCACTTATAATTATCGGAAGATCTCCTAGTCATTTTTGCGCGGCTCGATCTCTGTCGGGGCGAAGTCGCCGAGCTGTTTACTACTCCTTTTACCTGCTTTGTAATAAACAAAGTACTTATGTGAGTCTGAAATCCTTGGCAAGTACATTATCGCGCTGTGCGATCGATCATCAAGCTATCATAAAAAAATTGCTGCGATGCGCGAACACTTACTCTGCACCACCTTCCGCTGGAATGCTGATCATCCTGGCTGCCGGTGAGACCGCTTTCTACTCCGCCTACCTTCTCGTCTGTGCGACTCGTTCACAGTCAATCCATGCCGTACAATCCTGTATACTAAACACCTATACTCCATGCCATGTGTTCATGTATAATAGCTTACGTGTAGAAGCTTAGTAAACGATTACATGCAATTTTTGACCTACAGCTCAAGGTGCTCTGGTAGTAGACACGCAACCGCATATGCCGGTGGCCACCGGAGCCATGGCTCCGGTGCCATGGCTCCAAAAGATGATTGATGCTTTCGCTGTTCTCGGTCGGGCAACGGATGACCCATGGGTCATCTTTGGAGCGCTGCTCGCTACTTTCTTTTCATCGGGTTACTGCTGTTATCCATGATAATGCCTGGTGAGTTATCAAATGTGTGCTGTATCCAAAATGTACGATTCGTAGCTTTCGTAGCCAACAAACGCATTGTTCTAGTAGCTGCTTGCAAATCATAAATAATATAGCATTTTCTTGTATTAATAACCGTTGCACATCTAGTTAAACATCTTATACCAGCCGTGCCGTTCGCATTTTGGATGCGTATGAACGGTGTACTGGTCGCTCGTCCTTGCATCACGTTTCGTCGAGGAGCTTCTTTTTTATTCATGTTTTTGCAAGCTTGCCTTAAGGGGCTGACTGCGCTTCACGTTTTGCGTCACATTCGTCGGTGCCCAGTAGACGACGGCCGCGCCTGCTCGCCGTTTTCTGGTAGCGCACTCTGGCTGCATTCTACTTGAAATAACGCATACATACGTAACAAAAACTTCATAAGCGCCCCGGCATTCTGTCACGCGCTGCAGAAACGCGTCACGGAATCCCGTGTCGGAACTGCCACTTCAATCTACCGTAGTGCTAAGCTAATTTGGTGACATATAATTGGTGAAAATCACCAATTGGGTGCGCCGTGGAAATGGGTACTGGGTTCCTGTACGACTGGTCGCCAAATGCCGTGCAAACTAAAGAAATGGTCCAACATAAAAGCAAGAAATCACGCTGAGACTGGTTAATCCTATCATATAGATATGATGGAGCGGGTGACGATGCTGAGTACGAGGAGCTGCGGCAGGTGGTTGCGGTTTGTAGGGAGAGGTTGCACCGACGGTACCTCGCTTTAGGAGTGCGACTGAACGACTAATCATCCAAGGCAATAGGTGGTCATTTCGCTGCGTTATGGAAAGGGTTTGAGACTCAACGGCGCGGTTGTGCGCGTGCGCGGTGGGCCTTTTGGCCGTCACCAATTTTCAGAACACGTGTTCTGTGTTTTACTGACTCCCGTAACTGGCTTTGGTGGCTGTGGATTGGCTGACCCGATGGTGCTGAACGGCGCGGTTTGGACGATTTTTTTGGCGAGGATTGTACCGCTGCCACGGGCCTTACACAGCAGGAAGAGTAACAGCCAAGCCTAAAAATCCAGACCTATTTCCCGCTTGAACCGTCACCAACTGGCATGTGCGAAGGCAAAATTTTCGAAGGCGTTTTTTGGCTCTCGCCAAATGGAAATCACCAAATTAGCTTAGCACTACGACAGTTGAATGAGCTGCCGCTTTTTTTAACTTAACAGAAGGAATTGTTGGGTCCTTCTGTATTTTGGGTAGCTATTCCAGGTTTTATAGAACCTAAAATTTTTCTTCGGTGCCTCTCGGAACCGAACTAGGTGCGCTGACGCTACTGGGATCACAACATGAGTGCGACAACACGATCGGGTCGTCACGCACACGGACCCCGCCGGCCCCAGTTTTGGAGGTGGCCTGCACTCAGGAATCACATCAAGCGGCCCTCAGGGCCAACCTTTTGGTGGTCTCCTTTACAACCATAATCAGAGACAAGTCAAGGGCGGAGCTGGATGGCCATACGCAGCCATTTCAAAAAACACTTAAACTAGCGCTCCTCCCGTGAACTGTCGATGTCCTCACACGCACTCAACATTCTGGCGCACCATATCCTTGCCCAGCCCCTGCATCTCACACGACAACCAGTCCTAGGCTAACTAAGGCAAGCTTATTAGGTACTGTGCCATCCCGAATATACGGGATCCATGCCGCCGTACGGCACTGATGCCTCAACCCGTACCAGTGTGAATTCGGAGCACATCCCACACAAAACGTTTATCTCCTGGCTGACAATGCCATAGCCCAGGTTTGCTAGGTGGAAGAAGAACAACGCCAGATCCGTCACGCCAAATTCACCGCGACCCCAGTGCGATTGAAGGTCTGCCTCAAAATTCCTCATGTACATCTCATGCCAGTGAACTTCTACGGCAATCTGATCGGGCAGGGATCGCGTGTGCTCACGCCACTCCCCGAACAGCGGAAACTCAAATGACTCGACGTCGATTTTCAGTACGTCAATTTTATGCTCGCCTAACACCGAAATAAACTGGCTGTACGTCACAAATGCAGGGTCTCGCTGCGCTGCGGCAGCTGAACCCACGCACAGTTTGTGGAAGGAGTGGCGGTCTGAGAGCTTCTTGCCCTCCACCGTGCAATCTAGGGTGGCGACCTTGCAGCGCGTCTCATTCAAGATGGCCTCCTCGAACCTGTCGTACATTCGTACATTTGGCATATTAGCGGCAACAGCACCAGCAGCAGGAGTAGCAGCAAAAGCATAGTAACCGCAGCGTTACCACATGGCATCAGTCATAAGGTCACATTTGAACGCAGCGTTGAGCTTGTGTTTAGGGCGCCCTCTGGAGATGAAGTGCTAGCAAGCGTTATCGTTTCATTTTTCGAAATGGTGAGGTGGAGGAGCACCTACTGGGCTGTATGCCGCAACCACCATTCGCAAATCCAAACATCCTAAGGACTGGGGGGTCAGCTCTAAACTTACGAGCGCTGATCTGCGGCTTGGTCTTCAAAGCACACCAATCGAACCAACTTCCAACTCTTTCCAGGCCCCGCCCCCGCCCCCGCCCGCAGCTGGGTACTACTAGGGCACACTTGTCGGGTTTCAGATGTCGGCCGCGGCAAATATCAAAGTGAGTCCCCAGTGCGGAGATCTTTCCATTAGACACCACGCCTACCTGAAATCCATGTTGCTGCCCATGGAAATGACGATGCACGGTTCCTTTAGGGCAGCGGGCTCACAGAGCCATTTGCCGCCATCACCCTCGGGACCCACACGGCGCAGCGGCCGCCCTGGCGGGCAGCTGATGAAGGGCTGGAACAAGTGGAACCGGTCCCAGTCCCTCGGCTTGTCGGTGTTGCCCTTAGAGACGATGTACTGGGCGCGGAAGAAGGGGGGGTCAGAGAGGAGGGATGTGAAGTGCTGCCGGGCCCGGTTGCCATCATTTGCAAGAATATGACGGTGAGTCGTGTCCTGTGATGCAATTGGGGCCTCACACATCCGATATTCAAGCTTCCCTCGACAATGTTACATAAGCATTCATTGGTAGACAGCGGCGGAGATACCCTACCGGCACAGACGCTCTTCTTGCCATAACACATCTTTCTTTATTGTGACTAAATACTCTTCAAAATCCCCATGGTAAGAGATCACTGCAAGCGTTGGCAGGGCTCTGCACAGAAAATTCCGCTACGGTTTGGAACAGTCTCGCAACCTTTTCAACAGAAGGGACTCCCGTGTCAACTTCTTTGCGGCTGCTAACACTTATATATATTTATTGATCCAGCATATAACTTGGACAGCTAACCTTTTCTGTCGCCACAAAGAGGTGCGAGCGCCAAGCAGACAAGTTGCGGGCGGCATGGAGCCCCCATTCGTCGTCATAAGCAGCAACACGTAGGGATTTTTGCGCTTCAAAGCTGTGAGTACTTGAGAAAGAAGCGGACACAGTGGCCACGTAAAGCCCTCCCCATAACAAACGGATTAGTCTTGAAGCGAAGTTAACTCTCATGTTGCCCATTCGCACCACTTGCACTACTATCGTAGTAACTTGTGTATCAGCGTAACGGTAGTGTCATAGTATTATGTTACTTGGCGACCATAAGCCGTATGTAGGGCGTACGGACACGTCGTTGTAGTGCAGCCCAAGAATTACAAATTGATCAGAGACTCTAAATGATTCTCGCGACTCGTTATAAGACAGCGCAAGGGTCCTTGGGGTACGGGTGCCAGCGATATAGAATGCGATTAGGGACTGCTTACGGATGACCGGCCCTATTTGCCTTATATTGCCTTTTACTAGCAGGAGGCGATTTCTTGATGGTGTATTATTTTGGAGATATGTTAGCATGGCTTTGGGGAGGTTTATGAGTCAGTAAAAGTGCAGTGCATTCGGGCCTGAAGGCGGGCCGTAGCCTTGCAGTTCTATGGCGCGGCCTGTGGTCAAA